GTGCCATGTAGCATTTCTATTCATTTGTCTTTCAGGTCTGTCACTGGCGGTGTCCGCCCTTTTCCGCTGGGCATGCAGCATTTCTGTTCATTTGTTTCCCGGGTCTGTCACTGGTGCTGCCGCCCCTTTCTGCTGTTTCTATTCATTTGTCTCCCATGTCTGTCACTGCTAATTTCCGCCCTTTTCCGCTGGCCATGCAGCATTTCTATTCATTTGCCCCCCAGGCTTGTCACTGGTGGTGTCCGCCCTTTTCCGCTGTTTCTATTCATTTGTCTCCCAGGTCTGTCACTGCTGGTGTCCGCCCTTTTCGTCGGCCACGCAGCATTTCTATTCATTAGTCTCCCAGGTCTGTCACTGTTGGTGCCCGCCCTTTTCCGCTGGCGATGCACCATTTCTATTCATTTGTTTTCCAGGTCTGTCACTGCTGGTGTCCGCCCTTTTCCGCTGGGCATGCAGCATTTCTATTCATTTGTTTCCCGGGTCTTTCACTGGTGCTGCCGCCCTTTTCCGCTGGCCATATAGCATTTCTATTCATTTGTCTCCCATGTGATTTCTTTCTTTTTGTCTTTCAGGTTTGGTGCCTGCACTGCTGTTTTCTGCCCTGTCCGCTGGAACAGGTTCGCCTGTGAAAGGTTCTTGCTCCTTTGCAAGGGGTGCGTGACTGTCCCGGGATTGCATTCCTGCCACACTGTGTAACTCTCTCAGCTTTGTTTTCCTTTTCGGGCAACCGTTGGATGAATGACCGGATTGGATTTCGGCCGCGTGGCAGCGATCTCTCTGTTCAGTTGGGGCGGAGGGCATACGTTAGGCGCCAAAAATCAATTTCATGTCACATCCTTCGCTCCTCATGCTTTTGTTTCTTGTCTTCACGTGGTCAGCTCCCTGCTGACTGAGCAGCATGACCAGCGTCATGTTCGCGCTTGAAGAATAATTCCCCAAAAGGTTTACTGTTAGGGCTTCTCACTTCTTTTTTAAGATGTGTCCGCCCGCTCTGTACTGCTGTGTCCGTCTCTGCCTTGCAATCCTTTACATTTGTCTCCCAGCTCTGGACGTCGCAAGCTCTAGTTTCGATTTTGAAAAACACAAACTGTTTGGGGTCTACGGTGGTGTAATTTAACGTAAAAAAAGTACTTTACATGTAAACAATGTTATTTGAGTCTGGCTGAACGGTTTGTTTGGGGTACAGCTGGTGGGTGCATCGATCGTTGCCTTCCACTCCTCGACTCCTTGGACTGCGTCCGAGCCAAGGCCGGGACGCAGCTCCTCAGCTGGGAACACCCCTGCGGGTGCGCGTTCTCGGTGCGAACGCCGTGGGAAACGAGCAGGGGCTTCTTCCGAAAGTGAAGCGAAGGGTACAGTTTTACCAGAAGCCTCCAACAGGCTGGTTCTGGTTGGATTGGCCTTATGAAAAGGATTTTTGAAAGGTCTCACTTGGTGACCTGTTAGAGGGATCCTTGGTGGTTCTCACTTGACCCACAGAGTGGTGCTGCTGCCCTTTCCACTTCGGTGCAGCCCGGTGACTCTGTTCTTGGGAAAGCATGGCATCCTGGCAGGAAGGTCGAAGAGAGTCAGGACGTGGGGTGGGGTTGGGGTGGTGGTGGAACTCAGGAGGCTGAAGTAAGTAGATGCTGAAGACCCGAATATCGGCTGGGCTCTCTCCACTTCGTCTCAGCTTCTTGCAGCACCATCAGGTGCGCTTCCTCAGCGATACGCCCATGCAGCGGCGCCTGCTGCGGGAGGTTGGGGCCAGCCTGGGCGCCCAGCCTGGTGGCGGAGAGTCCGGTGGAGTCTTAGAGGGCGGCGCCTGGCGGAGAGGAGCACACCGATGGCCTCGATGGCCTCCAACCCCCAGAGACATGGTCCGCATTTTCAGTGGTGTAGGGTGTGAGCGACGCGAGGGGCCGAGGCTAGCACATCATGGCACTAGCCTTCTAGATGGTCCGATGGTTCAAGCTGCATTCAGTTGCATTGCAAGATGTTTGTCTTCCTTCTTCCTCCAAAGCTCTTAGTTTCTCGCCTACTGAGTACCGACCCCATCCCTCACTTGGCTGACCGATGTTGGACTCGTTTGACAGATGCCCTCATAGCCCCCCCCTTTCCAGCAAGGAAATCAATGAGTCAAAGGGCTGCTCGGTCACAGGATGGTAGAACCCTTCGGATCAAGAGAGCGACGTCGCCAAACCTCAACACCTCCCTGCCACCCGATGGGATCAATTGATTTCGTGGTTTGACGTTCTTTGGAGCAAGAGCACGAGAGAACGTCGTTTGTGCAGAAGCCTCTTCAAGATCTGTCCAAAGTAGCAACCCACAAGTGGATTTTGAAGATGACATTCCTTTCCAGGTGGCTGTTTGCTTCGTTTGTGAGAAATGCTGCGCGTTTGCCCACCCTGGTGTTCACACGCACGAAGAGCAACACCCAATCGTGGTTCAAATCGCCCCATCCTCAGGCTGCAGGGTGTCCATGGACAGTGAGCTGCCCGGGGTTCCGGTTCCAAACCGCGTGGCCACGAAGACGGGTCGGCACCGGTGTGCGGTGTGGCTGCAAATCACCAGCCTGGACAGCTCCTTCTTGACTGAAACCGTAGTGCTCCAGGGGCTTGCCGCACTACCCCCCCCTTTTTGTGAAATCGAGCGACCAGGTAGCCTTTTGGGATGGGTCAACGTGCCGAGACGGGCAAGTGAAAAGATTCATGGCCAGGGTGGCCGCAGTGTTCAGCAGCAAAAGCCAGCATTTGGCCGTCAAACGGAGTCAAGTACAGAAGGTGCTTCCGGAGATTCCATCCAGTTCAGTGGCTGGGTGAATAGTGTCCAAAAGCGTTGCCTTCCACCAGAGCTATGGGATCATCTGTGCGGTTTCGAAGCGATTGGCATCTATTTGGGATAGAGCGCTCAGAGAACCAACCCCCTAGTTTTGGGGAACCACAGGACACTTGCCGAGTGACCAACAAATGGGGGCACCCCTTGAACCTCTCAGCGGGTCCTCTTTTCCAGTCCTTCCCGAGGGCCCCTGGTCTCAGCAGTGAGTGCCGGCCGCTGGGCGCTTTGGGTGTGGGGCCCGAGACGGAGAGTTGGTTGGTGCAGCGGGTGCCGATGCGGCAAGGTAAGTATCCAAGGGTTTCACTGAAACACCTTAGACAACTGCATGGTGTTTCACTTACTGTCACCAAAGAGTTGTTTCATTCTCCAAAAACCTTGATCACTTCCTGAAGACCTTTTCTGTCTCCAGGCCCCGGCCGAAGCGAAGAGTGGCCTGAGGCTGAACCCGGCGGGCGAGTGCGGGTGGGTGGGTAGGCAGCAATGAACAACAAGTTCCTTTCGGGCGACGATGTTCAACACCAGTCCCAGCTGTGTGGTAGAATAGAGACCCGACAGATCCCCAGGAAAGATCGCCAGACCACAGCCTATTGGTGGGGGACTTCCCCAACTAATACACAGCTGTCTCTTGGTCCACTATTTTAATCTAAAGGCCTTAAGGCCATTGCCTGCTTCGAGTCGCTTCTTCCAACTGCACTGAGCTTGCCACTTCTGCTTGAGTCGCCGGACATCCTAGGACCATCGACCCTCAGAGCAACCCGTCGGAGAAATCCGTCCCGTTCCGCGCGCATGCGCGCGCCGCGGGATCGGCCCCCGTTCCGGCAGGGCGGCATCAGTGAGATCTTGCGTTCCGATCCCTGCCAAAGTGCGGCGGCCGCGGGGGAGCTCGGCGGGAGCTCGGCAGATCCGATCTAAGACCAAGGAACTCGAACTGTCTCGGCTGCGGGAGTGCTTTTTACATTCCCAGAGGGGATGACTTTACATGTAAATCGGGAGTGCTTTTTCACAGGGGAACATTTTCGGGTGGTGATGATTCCTGTTGATCTTGGGAATTGTCCACCCGATCGTGGTTGATCTGATGGCTGGCCGGACAGATGGGATGGGTTTTCTGCCGGACAGATGTGTGTGCTTGTTGACGCCGGGCTGACGGGCTATTTGACAAGGAGTCGTGAGAGGACATCATTATGAGAGATGACATATCAAAGATTCTGATATATATATATATATACCCCCTGTTTTGGTATTCACGGACACATCCTTTGGGAGCACCAGCACTCGTCTGGCAATCGTCAGGTGATTCCAGACACGGACTTTTGTGGATTGCCCACATTGCTGGAACTGGATCACTTCCATCAACTTGTTGCCACAAACCACGATACTCGCGCTGAAGATTGGGTGGCCCGTTTTGGGGTACGCTTTGGGGTACGCTAACTCCTCAACAAACTGCTACTGGTCAAGAAGACATAGACCGACCCTGATCGGAGCAAGTCGACCCCGAATGCTTGATCCCGAATGCGGATGCCAAGAAGACCATGGAAGAAATTGTCTTCTCTATCCATGGAAAACACCACTTTAAGTTTAAAGTTTAAAGTCACATAGTAATATAATTCGTGTATTTGAATTTGCGTTTATAGTAGCAGATGAATGTGGAGGACCTCTTTAATTTGACCATCGAAGGTCACCATGCGCTTCATGCTGAGGCGGTTGTGAGGTCATCGAAGGGCCCTTTGGCCATTCAACAGGCGGGAAACAGCCCGAGAACTTCCATCGATGGTTTTCAACTTCCGTTCCTGCCGGCCACCAGACAGGATTCCATGGCCCAGTTTTTGGGGCGAGAAGAGACATGGAACCAAGAAGATCTTGATCGATCGGTACAGCGAGGCATTTTGTAGGTCAGAGGTCCAACATTCTGTGAGATCCGCCTGCATATAGATAGGAAAAGAACCAAAGGAGAAGGGATCAGTTCTTTCCGGAGTCCACCAACGGTGTCACATGGCTCTCGGTCTGCGCACAAAGCATGTTTCGAACCTCAGCATATCATCCTTTTTGTGTCCTTCCGTCCAACCAATTCAAACCAAGGAGGTGAAGAAACGGAAACTCACATCAGCAAAGTCTTTGTAATTCAGGTTTTAAACAATACTGAAACAGAAGGAACCCATCTTTCCTCTAGATCTTGATGATTCAAGTCGAAGGTTTGTTTGTTGGGTGTTGAAGTTGAGGATGGACGCACAGTTGCCCTCACACTCGCCACTCCGATGGTTTGATAAGCCATACTGCGATATGCCATCCGTTACTATCATGTGTGGGCTGTTGTTGGAAAATGGTTCCAAAGCTGCTTTGGTAGACTTGAGAAATCACGATTTTCAGATATGATCAGCTCAGTTTTGTTTCGGATAAATCAAACATCTCCCATTTGTTTCCAGGTAAACAAGTGTGAAGAAAAACGATCTCAACCCACCAGCGGAAAAAAGGGGGGGGTGCGGGGCTTCTGTTTCGGTGGAACGAGCCAGGCCCGAAGCCTGGGGATCCACGGGCTGCATGGAAGTCTTGTGCCTTGGATCAGCTGGAAGTGGATGAACAAACCCCGGACGTATCTCACAGACGTCTCTCTCGATCTCTTCGCTTCTTCCCTGGTTCCCTGGGTCCAAGATGGTCAAAGACTTTGATTTGGCAACAGGGACATGAACGACAGGGACATCAGGGTGCTGCTTGCTTGGGCTTTTCCTGGAGCCTCAGAACCTGGCAGAAGAACCTGCTGTCCGTGCTCTCAGGATGCACCCATATATTACTTTTCGTCAGACCTACCACAATATGCTCTGTTCGAGAACATAGCTCATGAATGCTCCTGACCTATTCACAATGTACCATATCTCCGCACCTCCCCACAGCTTCCATCTTGTTCCTTCGCCCTACCTGGCCTTCCTGACCGATCCACCACACCTATAGTGACCGCTCCATGGTGGACACTCGATCCTGTTGTGGGTGGGGTTTCGCACCCACCGATCCGCACGACCGAGTGACCGATCCGCGTTTCCCAGGTGGCCGGCAGCGCCCACGAAGCAGGTGTGGGGCGCGCGCACAGAGCAGGGGCCTTCCCAAAAGAACGACATGTTCAGCTGGGGACTCTGATTCACCCAACTCAGCCGAATCTACCTGAGGTCGAGGCACCAGCTCAAGTATCCCAAGTTCCCTGAATCAAACACAAAACCTTCCCCCCTCCCCCCAAAATGAACACATATATTTATAAAGTGTCATAAATCATATTTACGAATGACCCATTTCGACGTTCCGTGATCTTCCATCCGAAGACCTTTTCGCCGCCAGGCCAGGCCGCACGCTTGAGCAAGCTGCAGAGCCGCACCTGGGCCGATCAACGGGTGCGCGAGGGCCTCGCCAAGGCCCGTGCCGGCGACCAGAAGGCAGCCATGGAGAGGTGCCGACAAGTCCGAGGACTGTGAAGGGACAGATTTCGGAAGTCGAAGACATGTTTATTTTTTTGATTTTGGATGATTACTATTTTTTGATGATTTGACATTTGGATGGCAGATATTTGGTCATAATGGTGGTCTTGGACTTCACCATTCTATTGGCAGAGGTGGTCATCGGCCAAGAATCTATATCTACTGCATTCGAATGCTAGGATCAATCTGAACACAAGTTTATCTTCAAACATCGAATATTTCAGTGATCAAACTTGGATGATCCCATCATCCCAGTGATTTCTTCCCCAAATGTGACGTCATCTGTGCCAGGTACGACGCGGCCTTGGAGCTTTGCCCACAGCACAAGGAGAGCTCCGCACTCCGGACCACTTGGTCTGAGGTTTTGTTTTGTTGAGATCATCGCCTTGGCTGCAAGACAAGAAGTAGTGGGAGCGGAAAGAAATCCTCAGATTTTTTGGCCCATTCCAGGCAGTCCAGGCATTTTGAGGGCTCCAAATATATTTCCCAAAGGTTCCATGTTTTCGATACAGAACTGGCAAATCAGACACCTCAGACACCCCTGTGGCAAACTGATTAGCTGCGCCACTGATGAGCAAAGCAGTGTGACCCATGACCTTCCTAGAAGGTCTTGCTCAGCTTTTGAAGTACTGCGTTGTGACAACGCATTCTGAAACCTAGAGAAGGCGAAGGAAAAGCTCTTCTAACCCTCCAACTGACAGTCCTTAGGACTGTCTGGATAAAACACGAAAAAACCTCCCTTGGTTGGGGCGGCCTATGGCTACAGGGTTCACGCACAACGGGCCGTGGCAGTTCTTCGCGATGTCAGTGCTGGCTGCGACCGTGAAGCTGACCAACAGAAGCTTTTACTGCTTCTCGAGTTGAACCAGGCAGCCGATTGGATGAAGTTTCAGGTCCTTCCAGAATCACAGAACTACAGGTTCATCTCTTTGGTCACCAACTGATAAGGCATTTGCATACATTTGCTGTTGACATGGGTGCAAAGTGAATTTTAATGTAGACTGTTGTTCAATAGGCCTCCCCTACCTGAATGGTTTTCCATCTCCGTCCATAACATGTTCTTTTGTTTGATTTATCAACGGTCAACCGTACCGTGAAGATCTGATAGTCCCAACAACACCCAAGCTTTGGCCCACAAGATATCGCAGCAGCCTCGATCTAGCCACCGTTCCGGTCTCGGTTCCGATGGTCGCCCACCGGTGCCTCCGTGCTGACGACGGCCTTGGCAGGAGGGCCTCGTTGGACGCGGTGCTGCGCTGGCCAACCTTGGCAAAGCCAGGGAGGCATGGGGGGTGTGGGCATGGGACACTTGTGTGGGTTGGGAATGCAAAGTGTATGTTTGTTGGATGGACCAATATACCATCTACTGTAATACCAAGTGCATGCTTGTTTAAGTTTGGCACCTCCTGGCTGTGTTGTTTGCGAGCCTTGAGATCCATTTCAACGCGATGTTTGGTGATACCCCAGAAGTGTTCCGTTTAAACACAACGGCCAGAATGAAAAGGATCCCTGGCGCATGGGTTGGGGAGGAGGTGAAGGAGAAGCCAAACATGCTGTCATTTCAGTGTGGAAGTTTCCAGTCCAGGTAATTGTATCTGCAGATGTCCTGGCTTTGCCAGAGAACACTCCAAATAACAAGTATCGAAGCAAGAGGCTGGGCGACAATGCAGTGTGCAGGACGCGGGCTGTGGGACCTACTAAACATGATTTGGGATCCAGAAAACTGGATGAACCGGGAACACAAGAGATTGCATTGGAGCCCAACCCACCGGTGAAAAAGAATATTTGATAAACGAACTGACTATGTTTTGAGTGAGATCATTGACCGCCATGCCTGCATGCCTGAGCGCCTGAGCTCATCATGTTGCAAGGCACCACAAGCGGATGTCGAGAGGCAGTTCATGTCGAGTGCTGGATGAAGCGACGAATTCAGATCTCCATCGACCCTTCGTTGGGTGTGGCCGGCCAGCCTTGGAGAGCTCAAGAGGTGGCCGCTCGCCAGGTGGTGCAGGTGTTCCACCGCGACGTGCCGGTGGTGGAGCTGGGATCCGGCTGTGGTGGCTTGGCCTCGTTCCTGGCCTTGGAGGGCTATCGAGTGGTGGCCACGGATCTGCCAGACTGTTCCCGCCTGGTCTCCGAGACGGCTCGTTGCAACGAGGTCCGGGTGCCGTTTGAGGTGCTGCCCTGGGGGGATTGGACCGCCATGGAGGCCGTCCTGGCTACGCTGCGGACGACGTGCGTGAATCTGGTGGCTTGTGAGTTGGCTTATTGGGGTGGTTGGTCTCTCTTGGAGGAGGATCCCTTAGACGCCTTGGTGGAGACCTTGACCTTCTTCCTCACGCGCGGGTCACGCGATGGAGAAGGCGGTGGCCTTGGCTTGTTGGTCTATGAGGCTCGGAACTTGCCCCGCGAGGCGAAACTTTTTCAGCTGCTGGAGACGCATGGCTTGGAGTGGAAGCGCTTGGAGCCCGATGAGGATCCCAATGAGGGTGAAGTGGGAGCCTGGCTGGTGCAAGCAAAAGTGCCACTGTGGGGGGTGCGGTGTGGGAACTTGTTTGTATTGATGTTTAACATGTTTCTTTAGATTTTCTTTAGGTTGTTTTCCAAAGTTGTTGGAAGGAAGTTCTTCTTTTTACATGTTTTTTTAAGCCTGTTGTGGTAAATCCAATGTCACGAGTTTATCACAAAAAGGACTGTGGCTTTTCGTCACAGCTACACAGGCTGATTATCCATGGATTTGGGCAACCTAAAGCGCCGAATGCCAGCCAGTCGTGCAAATAGAAGCATGCCATTTCTGTTCGTCCAGAACCGATCCAGAAAAATTCATGCCGCCAGCTACAGTTGTTCTGTCAAGCATTTGAGGGGAAGGTGAACCCCTTGAACGCTTCTATCGATTGCTGTTCTTGCGGGTTCAACTGACAGTCCACCCATGGCTTCCGTCCGATCGGCTCCGATTGGCTTCCGACGGACTTCCGGTCGATGGGACTCGGCGAAAAACGCCGAGTGAGGCGCTCAAGGACTTCGACGCGGCGTGGGGAGTCTCAACGGTGTGCGAAAAGCCATGTGAGGGGAGCTTTCTGTGCTGGAAAGAGTTGTCTGTGATGGCTGGCGAAGAGGATATGGCCTGAAACATCCTGAAACCATTTGAGGAGAGTCCGGTGAGTGAACTTCCCTCATGATCTATCGTGATCTACATGGAATTCACCTTGGAGCTCCGTGCCGACCTTCCGAGGCTGCGGATCGACCCCGAGGACGCGAACGCCGGGGGCCGCGGACGCCACCGGTGCATCCAAGGTATGGATTTGGTGTGAAGCCATTGGGGAAATCGTGCCAAAGCAAACACGTCCCCTCCTTGTTGATGAACTGGTGCGGTGTCTTGGTTTTGCATGGTCTGAAAATGGCTAAGGCGGGTAAGACTCCACTGACTGCACGATAACAGGGTTATCATTGCCCTGCCAATGACTAGTTGCGCTGGTAACTGGGGTGATGGTAGGCCAGATATAGTGGTAGGCAATGTAGATGATGCTGTTTTGATGTGAGCCAGTGTGACCCTTAAAGAATATGTCAAGTTTTCAGCAGGGGTGTTGGACCTTCCGCAATCAATGGGAAGCTTTGGTCATAGACTAGAGGGTTTGCCTTTCCACTTTCCACCCTCTGCATCAAGCGTTTTGAGTATGGACATGTCTCAACCTTCTTCTCTGCAGTTCACAGTTGAACAAATTGAATCAGAGAAAGCAGTGTCTTGGGGCAATTAGTACCGGAAACAGATGCAGATGGCGAACCATCTCGCAAGACTAGACGCACCCAATTTGGGTGAACGTTTTGATGACCCCCTTGTCTTTGTTGCCACTTGGCTACAAACATAGAACATATTTTGGCCTGCCAATCAATCGTGTATCACTTCTGGCTTCATTTTGGTGTCCGAAGCACTAAAAACTTTAACGGAGGAGCAGACTTCAGCCTTGTTTCACTGGTGTTTTGTAGAACATGAGGACATGCGCCCAATGTAGATTTGAGTGCAGTTGGCTTCTGCCACCTCCCCAGGCCCTGAAGTACCGGGACATTGCCCGGAAGAGGGCACGCGAAGCGGCCAGGGCCTTAAGACCAGCTTTTATGAACGCGCCGATCAGCTGTGATTGATGTGGCATGGCATAGTATATTAGTGGTTCATTCATCTCAGAAAGGATGATGTTGCCAAGTTGGATGGAAGTGTAACTCGTTCGCCCTGCCAGAAGCAGAAGCATCAAGGAGGAACACTTGTGATATGTCTGCTTGTCTCTCTGTGGAAGCAACACCCAGATTGAAGGGTGCCGAAGCTGTTGCATTCAGTTAGATGCCGTAGGGAACATCTCACAATCCTTAGTTAAGCGCAAGATTCACAAAGAGATGATCATGTAAGATATTCAAGTGATGGTTCCAGAACACACTGTTGTCACAAAGGCAGTAAGTCGGATGCCCTGAGTTCACCCACATGATCGCTCAGCCCGCGACTGTTGAGCAACCAGCTTGACTTGTCGGTGGATGCAAAGAAGGAGAACGCGACGAAGAGAAGGAGCCTCGGAATCAACCGAGGACATTGTATGTACCTTTGTCCAAACAATCCAAGCACGTGCCCACCAGGATGGAGCGCGGTTGGTTGATTTGGACATGAAATTCTGGTGCACACTTGGTTTAGAACTTTTCGTTTGCTTTTCTCTTGTGATTCTTTCTAAATCTCAGGACACCCGTGAAAAAATGCAACTCGGAAGATTGGAGTGTGTTTTCTATTTTGCTACAGCCTGGCCAAGGGTTCAAAAGTGGTGCTATCACACACCTTCTCTTCTTCAAACGAGCACATCTTCGTACGAACTCTTGATCATATTAGAGCATTGGCACATTAACTTCCATTTTCAAATGACTCTTCTTGCTCCAAGCCGTCTGGGGTGAAGCCCCTGGAAACGCCGGGTAGTGGTCATTTTTGCAAACGCTTTGAAATGAACATCGAAAGCGATCGACCTTCTTGCCTTTTCCCAGCCTCTGCCTCACCCTGTGGACTTTTGCCTTGCAAGTGTGGTGTGAAAGCATGCAGGAGTGGTCCAGCCTGCCCACACTCTTCCGGTCCAGCCATCCGTTCTGGGCTGTGCCGCCCCAGGTAAAGGTTGCCCGTGTAGTCCGTTGTTGCGGATGAAGTTGTGGTCATCTCTTCAAGCCGATGAACGCTGGTACTCCGTCATATGTTGTCGTACAGAGCGTCGCTTCAGAATGATCTAAGAAAGTATCATGGGAGTTGGAATGTCGCAGTGTTTCTGATCTTTCGCTGTCCTCAATCATTGATGTCCATCTATCAATCTATCATCAGAAAAGCTACTCAAGTTGTTGTTTCTGATTAGCTTGCAGCTAGTATTGATATCTCACACATCCACAGCCCTAATCCAGTGGACTTTCATCAAGTAATTCAAGCAGAGGCCGCGCATGCTTTTGGTGTCCATCCACGCCTGGCTATTTCCCATTTAGTTTTGACTGTGGGCATTTTGGCCCTGAACGCTTTCGAAAAGAATAAGCTCGGCATATTCAATACAAAAACCCTGTTCAAGGCGGCAGAAAATGGCAGCCTCACCTTCTGCCTGTGTCGCCTGCTCGTCAGAAAGCTGTGCCTGAAGTCTTTCCATGTTCTTTGCCAGCTTCGCCTTCTCCTTCTCACTTTCTGTCTGTTTGGCCTGCTGCTTGGAAGCTTGCTCCTCAAGAGCTTCGCGATTTTCTACTAGAAACTCTTCAAGGGTTCGACTCTGCAATTCCTCAGGAGCTGCTGGCTTTTTTTCCAGTTCTGCAAGGAGAAGGCGAAGCTGGCGAAGAACATAGAAAGACTTCAGGCACAGCTTTCTGACGAGCAGGCGAAACATGCAGAAAGTGAGAAGGAGAAGGCAAAGCTCGCAAAAAGGGTAGACAAACTAAAGAACTAGCTTTCGCATGAGAATGCTGAAAATCAGAAGGAGAAGCGGCAGCTGGAAAAGACGGTTCAAGATTTACAGAGGCACCGGGCGGAACTTTACGTGAAACTTGGCAGGATGGAAGAATTACAGGACATCTTGAAGAAGGACAACAAGCGCCTTAAGACGGACTTGGACTTGCACAAGCATGTCTCCAGAGTGGCTGCTGGGGGAGCAAGGTGGCAGTATCAACACGAGGGAATTTGGTATGCTTTCCCGCCAGATGGGAATGAACAGATGTTGAAGGCATATTTGGCATACCTGTGTCACCCTTCCCGCCAAAATCAACATGCCCAGATCGACTCTGGTGGGGTAGTTCGGACCGTTGATTTCCGGCACATTCAGCAAACGCGCCGCAAAACGAACAGGGTTCGCCCCATCCGCATTGTGCTCGGTGTACCTGAGCAGTGGGCTTCCCCGGCTGACTCCTTGTTGCACCAAGCTAATCACATGCGATTGAGGTCTCTCTACGTTGACGTCGAGGAGTGCAGCCTTTTAGATAAGGTGCAAGACATTCTTCGGTCGACTGGTCATGCATGGGACATCAATTTCGACTGCTCTTGCATGAGAAGAGCTAGAGTAGCTAGAGTCATATCACTGCATCGCATTGAAAATTGGTGACTTGCCGGCGACATAGTTCCATTCTTCCCTTTTTTTGTGATACACCTATACAAAACCGGGACTGAACCCCACTGTTTTACAGAATCATTTCATTTGGAGAACCTCTTTCGGCACTAGACTTGCGTAGTGTAGTTCGTGATTTCTTATCAACTCTGCACTGCACTGTTTGACCTTGTTTGGCAATGGAGTCACGAGCTTAAGGCGTTTGTGGAAGGTTACGCGACAAGGCGTGAGGCTTTACGGAACGAGCACAAGAGTCGCAATGCGACCCAGTAGCTCTGGACGTGCATAGCCTCAATCAACCTTCCATGGCCGACTTTCAAGATAGGTTTGACTGTGGAGAGGCTTTAGCCAAAGATGTCGATGAAAAATTCCTTTTACATGGAACTTCTTGGGAGAATGCCAACTGCATTGCGCTCAGTGGGTTCGACCACAGAGTGTGCAAGCATGGTATGTATGGCAAAGGGGTATACTTTACATCAGCTGCCTGCAAATCACACCAGTATATACACCTGCTCTGCTTGCGGCACATGTGCCTGCATATGCAGGCAACAGAGGACACTGATCATTGCACGTGTTGCACTTGGGGCTGCTTACCTGGCAAAGGAAACCAGGCAAACGGAGTGCAGGCCCCCTGAAATGAACTCACTTGGGATCACATTTGATTCTGTGGTGGTAAATCCAGGGAAAGTCAGCGGACACCCGCACAAAGAACAAATACACCAAGAATTTGTGATTTGCGACAGAGAGCAGGCATATCCTGCTTACGTCGTCCAGTATGTAGTTTGAACGTTGAGCAGAAGACAGTTCATCGAAGACCTTGTAGCCCGCTGCCAAAAAAGTTCTGCGCTCAAGTTGTTCGATATCCTTTGGGTGTTCCTTCAAGAACTAGACTCGCAGTCAACTTTCAAGGGATGACTCCAGTCTACCGGATCACAGAATCACAGAATCATCGTCCCTCGACCTTTCTTCAATCTGATGGGTCGGGCATACTGGGGTCCCGCCCGTGGCCGCCTCAGGAAATTGCTTCTGCAAAGCGCCCACGCGCGGGTTAGATGCGGAAGAGAAAACATCGATGTTGCTGTGGGCAACGAGGAATGAAGAGTTTTGATTAGACCGTAAATGATCCGTTGTTTCTGGGCATCCTGATATACCCTCCAATAAGCTCCCGACACTGAACTCCTGGTGAAGAGTTGAGTAATGAGCCCCACCAGTCCACCAGTTCCTAGATGTGCCTTGAAGAGATGAGCTTTCCCTGAAAAAGATGACCGGAACTCAAGAAACTCAGACTTGGTGCTTCTCCCCGGCTTCAAAAAATGATTTCGTTCATGACTTGAACGTGGCTGTTTTCTATACTTTGCCTGCCTCCCCACACCACTTAGCTAGACAAGAACCAGATGTATCCACTTCTCTACTTCAGCTTTTCTCCGTTCAAGAAACGGTGGATGCAAGCAAAGTAATTAGATGCCAAAGTGCCAGAATTGCGGTCTTAGCCAGCTTGGTCAAATATGAGCCTTAACCAGTAGGACATCCATTTTATATGTGACTAGAAACTGGCATCTCCACGGTGACTTTTCAATTCGACCTATCAGCCAAGCTCAAAGAAGTTCAGCCATTTTTGTTCGTGTCGGTTTTGAGAAGATACGTGCTTCTAATCATTCCTTCGGTCTGGTTTGTCCCCAATGGCATCATTTGGTATTGCTGCTGACTGAGACTGGAGGCAATTGAGTGGGACATACTGGGTTTGGGATGGATTATATAGTTGACCATGCCTTGTGATAGTAACTTTTTGACACTCCTGTATACAGTTTCTTTGGACTTGTTGATTTGTCCATTCCAAAGGACAAAGGAGCTTTGTTCGATGTGTCATTCTTATGGTAGCGTTAGCAATGACTCCCTTGCGGAGGACCTCAACCTGAGGATACCTGACAAACATGCAAGGTGGGTTGGGTAGAGATCAAAGCATCAAAGAAGTGATAGATGGACAAAGTAACCAGGGCATCACCTCCTAGCTTGGTTTGGGCATCTAGTTTGCTTCATTCTGGCGAAGTGGAGCTAGTTATGGCTATTGCAGTTGGAGCCTTTTTTTCGACAAACCGCGACTCTTCATGATGAAAAGAACAGGAAAGAGACATAGCATAGCTGCCGCCAGTCTAAAGCGAACGAATCGCACATGATTGGGCTACATAGCTGTTGGATTGGTACCCCGGAACGGCATGGTTTTGGTGTAAACACGCTGTTGGAGGGCGGTTTCCGGTGTCCGGCGCCTCTGGAAGCTCCTTCAGACTGACAGACTGACTTGTCAAGTAAGTAGGGACTCATGTGGCTAATTCACAGTGACATTAAGTCTCTTGGAGCTTTTGGGTCCCCTTGCCCAATGGAGTAAGCAAAAATTGTTTTGTAGTGTTTTGGGAACTGTTGAACTGTTCTATTGATCTTCAGCCCAAGAAGGTTATTTGCTTTGTGGAAGTTTCAGCAGGCCGCAGTGATGACTTAGCTCGAATTATGGAAAAAGAATACAGTATCCAGCGAAGTATGAAAGCAAGAACTTCAGGGAGCGCTTGGATGCTTGCCCAGGTGATGGAGAGAAAGAAAAGGAAGCAAACTCAACTCAATACTCTTGTTGGTAGACTTCCCTGAAGTTAAGGCTGCTTGAAGGTCCAGGTACACACGAGGCAAGACCTTTGGACATTCCGATCCTCTGTGGAACCAACATTACTCCCAACATGATAAATGATATGCGAAACAATGCAAAACAGCCTGAATTGGAGTACCCTTTGCTTTGTGTTCTAGCTAATGTCCCTACTTTCCCTCCGCTTTTCTTTCAACGTCTGGGTGCCACCAAACAAAGCGAACACTCCATCTCAAACCAGGCAGAAGCCCACCCTCCTGAGCTTCCAGGTGCGGTAGAGATCCGTCCGCGCATGATGGGTTTATGATGATTTATGCTTCGACTCATATGTCTACAATTGAAAAGCGCTGCTCCGAATAATTTGTATAAAATCAATATAAATCAGTCGTTGTGTCCCCCTTTAAGTGATTTCTGTCTTCTTTTTGGCGTGGGACAACGAACTTGGCTATGGATCCATACTGTCAAATACTGTTTCTAGGTGTGGTAGAACTCAGTGGTTCATTCCATCTATTGAACGGCAAATAGCTCAACTCAACCACAACTTGCCGGACATGGGCCTCATCCGACGCTAGCTCTCACCATTTTTGCCCAAGCACTTCTCGTTTGCTGGACGAAAAACTCTAACATTTGTAAATGCCAAATAAGTTCAAGGAAGAGTGGGGTAGAACTACTTTAGCGGGTACCGTCAGTTCAAGGGTCTTGAAAGAGAATGGACCTTTTTGTCAAAGCGCAAATTCCGGGGTCATGCCACGGATAGTGCCTCAGGGAGTCCCTCATGCCAGTGATGCCGGTGACCGTGGCTCAATCTCCGAGGGCCTCGCAAAGAACGGAGGTCCAACAACTGCGGACCCGGCCATTTGGGTCTTTGGATGCAGCAATGCGACTGTGTCGAAGTGGATTGAAGGCACATACACATCTCCGGACGAGAGTCCTCCAGGAATATACAGACTCAAGGAATCCAACCATGGGAAGCCTGTTTACAAAAAGCAGGGACCTCCAGACGGCATGGATGTGTTTATCTACTATTGGGACAGTCGAGATGGATCATCCTTCAGGGGGTGGTGGTTTGGGCCTGAAGTGGGCGGCGAAGAAGTGTGGGCCTACAATGCGGGACATCCAAGAGACAACCCTGAACTACCGCCCACGTCCAATTGGAAGGTGCATGGGGAGGTGGATGAAAGCTTGAGGATCACAATCACTCTGGGAGTTGGTTCAGATATCTCCCGTGTGCCGGAGGGGTCTGATGAGAAGGCAGCAGAGCTGCAAGAGAAGGTCAGACATATCAGCCAAGCCCTCTCAGCAGAACAAGCAAAGCGAGAACTTGCAGAGGGGAAACTGAAGTCTTTGGAGGGCAAAGTTAGTGACTGGGCAGTGCTTTTGAATGTTTTCAGCATTTTCTTGGCATCCTTTCCAGGAATCCCAAAGTTCAGAATGTAGGCATAAATGCGGTATGGTACATCATACCATGATACCATTACATGTTAATCATGCTTCTCATCAACCAGGAGACTATGAGGCTGCCCTGGCACATGAGCGAGAGAAGTGGCAGACGGCCGAGAAGCAGGTCAATGACATGCAGCACAAATTGAAAGAAAGCTCTGAGGAGAATCTCCGGTTGCAGACAGCTTTGCAAGAGCACACCTCGAACAAGGCAGTCAGTCAGGGTGTAAATTGGCAATATCAGGACTATAAGGTCGAAGGAAGCTGGTATGCTTTTCCCCCAGATGCAAACGATCAGCTGCATCATGCTTATCTGGCTTTTCGGCGAGAGCCGACCAAACATCGATTTGCAGCCATCAATTCGGGTGGCGTAGCTCTCAAAGTTGATTTTCATTCGATGTTGTTTGGGCGTAGCGACGTGCCCAACAGGAAGATGCGGATTCTAACAGGGATGCCCAAGGAGTGGGTCTTAACACCTGCTTCCTTTCTAGAGCAATTTAATAACCTTCACTCTGAAAGCTGGTACTCGTACTATGTGAAGGTGGACAATCAGTCGATTCATGGCAAGGTGGAGGAAATCCTAAGGTGCACTGGGCATGCAGGAGATGACTTCACAGAGTGCTCTTGCATGAGGCAAGCTACCATCAAATCGGTGCACCGCATCGAAAATGTGAAACTCTGGCAAAGATACAGAGCGAGGCGAGACGCTTTGCGGCAGGATAGTGCTACTGCTTCTGTCACACCAGCAAGTCTTGACCAGGATGCTTTTGATACTCGTAAAGTCATGACTTGCAATCAATCTTTCTTTGACTGCGGTGAGGAACTGGCAAAAGATGTTGACGAGAAGATTCTATTGCACGGCAGCTGCTGAGAGAATGCTGGATCTATCGTGTGCAACGGCTTCGACCCTCGTCTTTGCCACCGTGGAATGTATGGAAAGGGTGTTTACTTTGCATCAGCTGCTTGCAAGAGCCATCAGTACACCTGCTTGAACCCAGAACATACCTGGGCCTGCACCTGCAAGGTAGAAAGGACTTTGATCATTGCAAGGGTCGCACTTGGCGATGCCTACCACACCACGAAGACCATGTGGAAAGAGCAGCGGCCACCACAGAAAGATAAATTCGGGGCTGTTTACGACTCTGTCGTTGTGAATCCTGGCTACATCAAAGGGCATGGCAAAGAACGACAAATCCATCAAGAGTTTGTGATTTTCGACAAGGAACAGGCATATCCAGCCTATGTGGTCCAATACGAAGTATGACGGGGGGCAGATGCCTGCCATCTTCACGGCCGCAAAAACCAGCGCTGTGCGAGATCCTGACCTGGTGAACAAGACTGAGTGTGTTGGGGACTTCCAAGATCTTCCAAGAACATACATTGGTTCGGTGGACCTGCCCAAATGATCAACGTGTCATAGTCAGTCATAATATCAATATATATATATAATAAAGTAAGTATATATATATATATACACATAGATCTAGGATAGCATGCCCGGTTTGGAGATCGTGTGAAACGAATGGAACAAGTGCTCATATGGGTGTGTATTAAAATAGGGAGACCTCCCAAAGACCCCCTATGGACGAAGGAAAATAGAGCAAAACCCATTGGTTGGGTCTGGGTGTTTCCCTACTAACATACACGCCCATATGAGCCTCCACATGGAATTCGGAGTCTTGATGAGGTATCACCACCCCTGATTTGCACCTCAGAAGTTACATGCCACGATGTTGTCGGTTCCGCGATAAAGGGAAGCTATGATTGGAACATACCGCGAAGCGTCTCAGGAGCTTACTCATGCGAAGCGCCCACGCACTTGCTAGATGCGCTGAGAGGAAAAAATCAGATCGCACAGGGACCTCATTGTTAATTGACCGGTGGACAAAGCAGTGAAGATGTGTGAGCCAAACATGCGGAGTTTAGGGGTCCAGATACTTTGAGACACTGCATGGTATGTGAGATGAACTTTGAAAAAAGTTCAGAAGCCCAAAGGAACTCAGATAATTGCTTTGAGACATGTGAGCGTATGGCAAGAACTTGGTGAGACGATTAGACAGCTGCTCAAGCTCAGTACAGCTGATGACAATGCCTGGAACTACGAAACACGGCGACCAACCCTCAGTACAAACGGTAGGTGTTCGCAGAGTTTGCACTCTTGGCAAGTTGTCTTCATGTTGCACGCATTATTTAGGAACAGAAACTCCAAACCAGGAGAGTTTGCATTCTGCTTCGCCTATTGCTAGAGCTCCTGGTGCCCGCACGGGTGGATGATTTCAGCGTTCACTCGGCCAATAAACCAAGTTAGAACCTATGACAAAATGGTGTTTCCTCTACTCAGGAGGCGCTCCCGCAAACCAAAGAAGCACCTTAGTTGATGACCTTGTTCCCAAAGCGACTCTGTCTCCTTTGCACTGGGTCCCATGCATGGCGTGCGAAAAAATGCAAGGCAGATGGGTGTGACATCCGGGAGTGTATGAGTCTCATTGAGGTTCGATGTCTCAAATTAGATCTCCCATTTCTAGATAGTTCTAGTCCATGCGCGGTAGAAACCAGAGATGAACCATGGTGAATCAACATGACTTTGAAGTCGAGCTAGGTTGCCCCTTTGACACAGCCAATTACAGCCACACAACATCGTACTGTTCTTGATTCTCGATGAGATCTCGTTGGGATTCGTTGGGTTTATGGATCTTGGGCCTGAGAGGTGCAAGTCATAGGATACGAGTGCCAGTTGCCAGTTGCCAGGATACAGCACTTCATTGGCCGCATCGTTCATGAAGAGCGTCTAACGAAGAGCGTCTTGTTCGTTCCGTGCCTTCGGTCGTTCGTTGTACCGTTCCCTTCGCCGGGGAACGGACGCGGCACGGAACGAAAACCACACACAGCAGCGTCGCCGGAAAGCGCCACCAGGCCGCGCATGGCCAGCAACCCAGAGCCCGTTCGAAGCGGCGTGAGGTGAGTTTGACGAAGCAGGAGGTGCAGAATTTCGTTTGGATGTCCCAAATCTAGTTTGTTTCCAGTGGCAGGAGAAGAACAGGTGTACAGGTACTTTCAAATCACAAAAAACGGAGAAACCCTGTGTTGCATTTCAGGGGACACCGGCATTTCCCCTTGGTCAACGTCGCTGGGGCGAGCGTCGCTGGGTCCTAAGGCCTTGGCGCCACTGACCGTGTGGGTGGCGTTCACGGTGCCGCGCACGGTGTCGTTGGTGCTGCCAGGTGCCGGGTGACCGTGTGGGTGTGGTGTGGAGTGGGGAGAACGGGGGGTAGTGGAGGGTGTGAGAGAACAGGTGAACTGTTGGAGGTGCATTGGCACGACTTCGACCCCACGGAGCTGTCGTTGGTTGGAGAATAGGTGATTCGGAGAATGCCGTGTGTTCCTTCAAGCTTGGAAAAAGTATGAAAAAGTGCTTCTCCTCGTCTTGGAAGTCCAACCTGCGAAGGTCTCTCGATTCCCTACTCCCCAAACCGCTCCGGCTCGGACGGCTCCAGGCGACCGAGCTGCGACGGCTGCGCTGAAGAAGGACTTGCTCGGGGCGGTGGCCTCTGGAGCGCAGGAGACGGTGTTGGTTAGGGAAGGAGGAGAAAGGTGGGGGGTCAGGGAGTTCCCAGCATATTTTAGTTCGTTCATACACTATGTCGTCCAGGTTATGTATGATGATTGGGCATGAGATGGTGTGGTTGCTTCAGTCCATATTCTGCTATTTCTGCTCAGTTTTGTCCAACCTTTGAAACGGTTTCGTGCAGTGATGGTGTGGCAAGAGTGTGTATGTATGAAGTCCTTTTTTCCGAGTGGACAGACCAACCTTTTTGATCCCTTTTGTAGTGTGAGAATTGGGCTTGCTAAAGGGATTAAAACCGTTGAGCTTAGGATTCCGGCAGTGTCTAGAAACGTCTAGCCCTGAGTTCACCAACATAGAATCAATACTTGACTATAGTTGCTAAGGAAGTAGAGCCGTTTTTCGTTTCAGACCTAACCTTTGTGGGTTTCCATTCGCACCTCCTCATTACATGTGCGGGACACACCAAGACCACTATGCCCACGGCGGGTCCCGCGAGCCCTCCACCGGGGGCCGCGAGGGTCGCAGCTGCGAGGAGGAGATCTTTCGAAAAGCCAAAGAGCTGGAAGATCTGGGACTCACCGAGTCCCCAGTGGCTGGCAGATGGTCCTTGGTCTACTCCACGCAGACTGCTGCTGATGTGAAGCAGGAGGAGAGGGGGAGGAGGAGAACAAAAGAGGGACCTGTTCGGGGGAGCAAATTAAATGGTTGTTTTGGAGTGGATCTTGATTGTTATTGGGGCAGGTGAATCGACGTGCATTGGCTTCAACCCAGATTGTCCTCATTTAGCCAATTGTTCGTTGACAGGTCATTCAGGCGCAGGACCGTTCACCAAAATCCATCAATAATAGGCTTCAGTTGCAGCTCTCTGCATTTGTGGTTATCCCCGACTGTCTTGGGGGTCTATCTCCCATTTGTCGTTTGTTTGTTTGGAGGAACTTCTGCACACAGCAGCATCCTCACCCAAAATTTTGCTCAGGACCATCTCAACTTCTCCCAGCGCATATGGGTCCTTGAAGCCATAAGCCTCACCCACCAGTGTGAACGAAAAGAACAAAGCACCAACTAAGCCCCACCAAGTTCTTGTCAAGCTCTCCAAATTAGATGATAGATTGCACTGTTCAAACGTATCTTCCTAAGACCTTGGCTCTTGAATTGTTCACACCTCCCACAGTGGGCCATCCTCGGATCTCCCAGCTCTTTCTCGCTCGCTTCTTAGCTCGCTTGAGCTCTCCCTCCGGTTTTCGGATCTCGCTGGGGTTGAGAGACCCGAAACGAGGCGAAAACGGACCGGCGGAGCGGCGGAGGAGTCTATCTTCAGCACCCTGACGGCGGCCTTGTATCGACTCTTCTTTCGCTTTGCACCCTTTTTGGCCGGTGGCCAGGACAAGCCCAAGGCTGGCAGGGACGGAATGGCGGTGCCCAAGCCCCCCAAGGCCTGGGGACCTGAAGATCCTCAGGAAGATGCCGGGAAGATGCCCCGAGAACGCGTCCATCTCAGTTTAGACTCGAAGACTAATTACTGTAGTCCTTTTTCGCGGCTTGCCCAAGCATCCTACTGTGCTTCACTGATTGAGGAGGCAGCTGTTGGAGTTCTCACATGGAGCAACAACTACGAGGTCTTTACGAGGGGTCAGACATTGTACTGCAAAACCTGCAAAAGCGAGTGGCACCTTGCTTGCGAACTACTGTGGTTTCAGAGTCGATTTCACAACCCCTAAGATGTTTCTTTAGATTGGGGTCTTTTTTTCCACCACCTTTCAGGGATTGTGCCATCTACTCTGAAACTACTGTAAAGACCTGTAAAGACCACACCGGCGGGGCGTGGAAACCACGGTTCCGCGGCGAAGGGTGCCGGCCGGCAGAAAACAACGACTTCTTTCCGAGCGAACGGCAGGGTCATGCCAGGGAACTGGAGATTGTTGGTGGATCATGGTGGATCAACATGTTGGGTCAACACTACTCAACTGGTAAACACTACTCAAATCTACTCTATTTTTTAAGGAGTGAAGCTTAGCCGCTCCGCGGGCGACCTTCGCTCTGACTGAATATGCAAACTGAGTCAGCTCTTTGTGGCCCGGAAAAATATGTGCGGCTCTACTGTAGCGGTTTGGAATTTGCAAGGCCTGATATAGAGAAAGATCTCTGGATAATGACACAGAACAATTCAGGAAAACCATTGTATAGATTGATGCAAGTTCCTCTATAAGTGGCTTAATGTGGAGGGTTGATTTAGAAATAACTTATTTACAATTATTTATATACATTTTCTTTTTTGGGGGGACCTTCTTTGAATCAACGGTCTACACGACAGTGATCTACGTCTTCTCACTTTGCTTTGCCCAGAGACGACGGGCAGTCGACAGGTCGAAGTTCTTGGCCCCTTCAGCCTTTCCATCGGCAACGAGCAGCTGGTGGACACGAGCAGCGTCCGTTGACCCTGCGCGTGAACACGAAGGGGAAGTGCAGATCGAAAGCATTTGGTGGGTAACATCCCTTCTTGTGGCGATGGATGTGGAGGTGTATTTGAGAGCCAAACGGTTGGACATATGCACGATGGCGATGGACGTGGATGGCCTCTGCAAATACCTTCTTGAGAGGGCCAAGTGTACTTAATTTGCAGAGGCTATTCACATCATCCGCTTCGCGGACGGACGCAAGCCATTCCATGGAGGTTTTGTGGAGTGTGAGCCTTCGAGAGCTTGCGCAAGTTTCTCGACCATTGGGGTGGATCAAGAAATGGAAAGAACAGAGTTGTACCTCCCAAATTGCCAAACAAGTGTAACTGGCCTAGATGAAAATAAGGCCTACAAAAAGAATGGTGGGTGCTGGGTTGAGGAAGACCCCCTAAGAGCATATTGAGACAGAGTGTTCGGTTTCTACATCTTCTCCATGTCTCAAGACACAACAAACCATCGGATGTGTGGCGGCGCAGGATTTCGCCTCAAAGCGCGTGGACAACCGTGTGGCGCTACGTCTGGGAACCTCAGGGCCCAAGGTCAACGTCCGCGTGAAGGCGACGAAGTCTGCGGATCGCACCGTGTTGAACGGAGTCGGTGGAACGGATCGGTGGGTGCTTTCGGTGGGCTCCTTTTTCTCGAAGCGTTGTTGTTGGTGTTAAGGAGCTGCAAGTACAAGAGGTTTGCTAGCAAGTGTATGTTTGACACCGTTTGATGAATGGATGACTGGATGACTCCTGCTGCATCTTCCACAATGACCTGGAGATCTCGAATTGGAGATCTTCGCACCATTGGAGGGCTACATCCTGGAAAAGACACTTGAACCTCTAAACCGACGACTGCTTCCTCAGGGTGGGTCTGATAAACATCTTAGAAGGAAGTTTGACACCCACACCAGAGATATCAAAGTAGACTTAGACCTCCAAAACCTTTGCTTCCGTCTGCTCCCCACGCCCTGCGGGCTGCATGTTCAGCTGAAAAGAATAGAAAACACCTCTCCACTCCGTCCAGCATGTTCAGTAAAACGCGCTGTCCGGCCTCGTCCGCTCCAGGGCGACTTGGCGGGAGAGGATCCCAGAGATTTGGAGGTTACCTTCACCAGCCGCTTGGTGCGTCGGGTGGAAGGACGGACACCAAGGGGACAGTCATTGAGCTGAGGGAGGTCTTCTGTGGCATCCAAACAAACAACGCAGCTTGCCAAGTTCAAGGAGTTCTCCGAGGGACTCCTGGTGGTTTGGGCTGGGGATCATCCCTGTCATCGGAAAGCTGAGACTCTTGGAAGTACAGATCACTCCTCGAGACAAACCAATGGCACTAGGACTTGGGAAGGCCATCTTCCTTTGCTAGGCGGGTGTGATGGTTTGGGTTGCCAAACAAAGGAAGATGGCCTTGCCAAGATGGACTTTTCTTGCCTTGGCGGGTGGAATTAGCAGAGTCTGTCAATACAACAGTTCTCCGCCAAGGCTTCGTGGTGGAGTTGCCCAACCTGCCCATGGTGGAGCTGCCACTGCCCAGGTGAATGGAGAAAACACTCCTGGGCTGTGAAAAGCAAATGGCCCCCTGTATGGAGTCATTTGACTGTTTATCCATTACCATTTTGGTGTTCTCTGCCAACATGTTGATTCATGTGCGAGCATGAGTATGCTGGCAAGATTTTAGTGTTTCTTCATGTTTCTTCTTCGCTTCACATGTACGTATATGCAATCTTACATAATCTTACTGAGATAGCTTAATATAAATATATAGATGACCGGAGTCCGCCATCTTGTTGGTCGGATGCGGGGTTTGCCTTCGCACCACGTGTGAACCGGCAGGCCCAGGGGCCGGCTCCGCACCAGCTTCTGTGATCGCGAGCTGCGGCTCTCGCGAGGCGCCGCACCGCTGGATGTCCGAGCGTCCGAGCTTGAAGGGTGCGTCCAATGAGATGTTGGGTATGTCCAATGGGAGGATATTGAGTTGTTATTTATCTAATCTTATATAGCTTTCCAATTTGCAGCTAGAGATAGATTCTATTCTGATATGAATCCTAAGAAAATCACCATGTCCACTACACGGTTTCTGTTCTTGATCGATCCTTGTAGATTTGGTGCAAACATTGATGATCCAAAAGAGCACGGATTGCCCACATCTACTCCTTTACAATCTGATGGGAGGTATACCATCTTTGATCCACATCTATTTCCCTCCGGCCATTTCTGGCTCAGCGTTGTCATATTTTGAGTGGGCGGGTGCCCAGAGTACTTTCGTCGGCCTGAGGGTAGCACTCCAAGCATTGCTTGCTGGGCAACCTTTGACGCCACAGAACCCGAAGAATTCGATAGGTCGATTGGGTGAATTCGCAGCGACACACTGTAGACTCAGTAGACTGGGAACGGCACTCTTTGGTGAATAGATATAAGTAAGTGTCCCGTGGCAATGGGACATACCTAATCTAAGCACCGATTTAAGGACACATGGTCACATGGGCACCTAAACAGATGAAGTGATTGGAAGACCATGGCATGGCACTTGTTGGAAGGATGGAGACTAGGACAGACCTTTTGAACTCCTGGCCATGTCTGACCATGGAAACGAGATACAGGAGGCGACGGCTTGTTTCTGTCAAAGCACCACCCCAGAACATCCGAGCTCTGAAGCTTCCTTTCCTTCGCACGACTCCACCAGACTGGTGTTTTTGTTGACATCGTGACCAGTCGGGGCTGCCACGACTCATACCAGAAACGGGGCCCGCTGGGCTGGGTGGGTCTCAGAAGTTTGAGAAAAGTAGAGCTTTATTGTTACCAGTAGCGATGGCCTCCAACCTAATAGCGACGGCCTCCCTCTAGTAAGTAGCTTCTAGTTACTAGTGCGTTCCAAGTGGCACCTCCTACTTTGCCCACTTCTCCCCGTCCGGCATCGTGTCGTGGATTCTCGCGCTGCTGGATCTCGCGCTGCCAGGCGGCCGCGGTGGGCTTTTCGTCCTCAAGCGCCTGGCACCATGAGCGGATTCAGATTCGCAGAAGCCGAGACTGCGGTCGACGTGAGCGTGAAGGGCGAGGTTGATCCGGTGAGCCTTGGAGCTGTGGAAGGAGATCACACAGGGGGGCTGGTGAGGGGATCAGCGGCGGATGAGACATGGAACGGCCTGTGTTTGGAACGGCCTTCTTCATCAATCCGAGGGGTTGGTGGTTCAAGCACCCTTCATCATGGAGGCTCTGTAAAGGAGGACTTCATTGGACATGCCTGATGAGATGGCAGTCCATATGGTTACGTTACAGGGGGGAGTGATGCTGACTACTGCCTTCAAACGAGTGACAATTTTCACCGATGGTTGTCCAGGAGAGACTCGAGCACCAGAAAGCCTCCTCCACGCTGTGCAAAACCCTTCGCGGGTTGCAAAGATGGCGCGGTGATTGGGTGGGAAGTAAGACGTGAGTGGAAGTGGAAGGGGATGAGATGGGTTTATGATGGTTTGGGTGAATTTTCTGACCCCACAGGTGGATGAAGATTCCCAGGACCATTCTGAGATTCTTCCGGGAAGGCCGCAAGTGCCCCGAGTCTTGATTAATGATCAATAAAGCCCCCCAATTTGGGTTGTAAAGCCTCTTCGTATGGGGGGTCCTCTATGAAATCTACAAATGAAGAGTCTACATTATGTTATCTTTTTCCCTTTTGTTCCATCAGTTCAACACGTTTAGTGCCCGCCCGCTGTGCTGTGTTTTTTGGCTGGATGCGCCATTTGTGGTCCTGTCGCCGGCTCGAACAGCGCAGAAAAGTCAATACAACCCCCAGCAGCCAGAGGCTGTGGAGCCACAAAACAGAAAACACGCCCGCTCAAGCTTCACACAACACATCAACCAATACAATTTTCTTGAGGGAACGTGTCCATCAGGCGATCAAGCAAGACAATAATAATGACATGAAGTTTTCAAGAATCCCAATCCATTTTGTGAACGCATGACCTGTTTTGTTTGCTTGAAACACTCTCCAGCCTTGGTCAAAGATCTTCCTTAGAGCCTTAGACAGTGGATGATGTTATTACATGTTATTGCCATGTCAAGTCCAGCTTTGGACCTCCCTTGGTTTGTAGCTTTGTAACCTCTCAATGACGTTCGTTCGATTTTTTCCTGGACCGTGGATCCTTCACGAGCCGAAGCAAGCGGACAGCGTCGCGTCGCGTGACCCGGTGACCCGGTGCGCCATCTCATGGCGGAGGTGGGGAGAGCTCGGAAAGCATGGACATAGGACTGAGTAGGAGCCTGGAATTTTGGGATGTCCGTGGTAGGGGTAGGGTTCGAAGGGAGGGTACTTTGAAGCATTCGGCCATATTCCACCTTGAGCTCGATGACTTTCCAAAACCCACCTTCGCATTCTTTCCGAATGCTGGCACTGCACGCGTGCAAAAAAAATGACTGACTGTGGACATCAAAGCCACACGGCCAGCTTCGCAGCATCGCAACCTGATCTCTTAGAGGCAAAGGTTGGCTCAAAGGACAACACACTGAAAGCAGGTATTTCAGGTAGCAGTGGTTGTTACTGGTTGTCCCTCGCAAGGAGACAAAACACGTAGGAACACCCAATTAATAACAACCTGTTTCGTCTCTCAATCGACAGGGATTGCCCGCCGTCGCCAGCGCAGCACCGTCACCAGGCGCCGCCGCCGCCTCCACCGCCGCCACCTCCGCCAGACGTCTGGTCCCTGTGGTGACCCGGAACAGACCCCCTGGGCTGAAAGAGTGGCCGAAGCGGCCCCACGACCCAAGGCCGAGAGCTCGTGAACAAGAAGGGTCACCCTATTCGAACAGAGATTTTGTTGGAACTCGTAGCTCCAAGGGCTCTTTCTCCTGCAGCATGCACCCAGCCGGCATGGAGGACGGTTGAAGAGCCATGTAGTGCAACTGTAGCTGCTGGAGTGCTGGAGATAGTAATGCAAGATAATGCAAGGTTGTAATAAGGTTATACATGGGATACCCTGGACCAACTCCTGAAGTGAGGTAGATAGTGATAGTGGATAGGAATCTACTTATTCGTCACGACGCTGGTTTGTGAATTTCTTCACCACTTCAATCGTCGGTGTCCAGTCTTGTTTGCATATTCCGTATTCCTTTTGATGGTAGGACAGGGCTTAGAGGTCGGTCATCTCGGCAAGCGTCCCCTTTGTGTCCACAAGACCAAGGGGGCACCGCATCGGTATATTGGCTTTGCCGTCCGTCAAAACGCGAAGTTATTGGCACCCCAGATAGCGATGAGATGATGAGATCCTTGTTTGGCCAAACAGGGCGCCAGAGACGTACATTCGATGCTCAAGGAAACCGCTCCCGCTTGCGGTGTCCGATGCAACTGTCGATGTGTCCGACGGCCATGAGTCTGTCCAGGAAACGATCACGGACGACGTGCACGGACAACAACGGACACGGACCGACGAACAGGACATACCGACAAGCTACCGACAGGAAGCATCGACTTCACAGAATTTCGACGGAAGCAGGTCCAACGGACCGAGGTGTGCAACATGAGACGCCCACAAAGGGTGAGAGAAGTGCAGTCTGAAGACCAACTCGAACTTCTGCAACAGGTCTTGAAAGGAAGTTGGGAGTAGGCTTGCTAAAAGAATCTGAAAGATGAAAGAACTTCTGCATTGCTGCTGGGGTGCTCGAACTTCCCCCTCCGTCCCTACTTCGCTCCCGAGGCCAAGGGGGTGGAGTCGGAGCCGGTGGCGCCCGGTGCGTCGCGGGCTGAGGGACGTCGTGCGGGACGATGCACCGACCGATGCGTTCGGAGAGAAGAACCGACGCCCCAGCTTGGGCAAGGTGTTTTTTTTAATGTTTTTTTTCTTTTCGGGGGTTGATTTGTATTGATTTGTGGGTCTCGATTTCTGGATCAATCGTGGGATTTCTGGATTTGTGGGGCTCAGACACCAGCTATGGTTCATGTATTCATGGGTGGACCATGGGACATGTCAAGGTCACAAAATGTGAGGTGACCTTTGAAGAGGTGAGTCACAACTTGCAATCTGGCGATGTTGCTTCTGACATCTTCTGATCCACCGCTCAACGTTTCATGTCCAAAGCTCCGAGATCTTACGAGAAGCACTGCAATGTGGAAAAGAGGAGCACTACTTTGCTTTGAGTACCAACACCACGACGTCATGAAAAGGTTGCCACAGTCATTCCAGCCTTGCACCTTGGTTGTTACAACTGTCACCTCTATGTACTGTAAGTAATCAATCCTTGGATGTTGAGGGGCAGGTTGTGTTAGCACTCTGAAGGATTACAATGAGCGAAGCAGATGTGTTCCTGACACGCCATGGTGCGCGTATTGACAAAGAAGACAGGCGAGCAACTCCAGCACAACTCCAGCCACGATTCCACGGCAGTCCAAGACGACCGCCATGATGAAAAACACCGCATCATTGGCCCACTCTTTTTCTGCAGGTTGGAGGCCATCGCTAGTAGGTTGGAGGCCATCGCTATAATGAAAGACAACATGTCCATTTTCGTCCTCCCAGTCCCACTCGTGGCGTTGCAGCTTTCGAAGACGAAGGCACTGGCTGGCGAAGGCGGGCCACGGCCGCCGCGACGACCCGCAGCTCTCGGCGGCTGGACATTTGGGCGCGGCGGAGCTGGCAGCGAAGTGCGCGGAGCTGCACGAGGAAAGGCACGGCGGCGATGGTCGTGAGGGGTCCTGGGCGTGGAATATATACCCTCCAAACCACCCCCAATGTAGGCAAATGTACATGGATGGTCTGGGTAATTGGAGATCCTAGAGGTGAAAGCTCGAGTTTCGCGCAATCTCCAACCTAATTGTAATGGGAACCTAATGACAATGGGAACCGGGCTCACAGCCTGCCCACCGGCCACATTTATTACACCGATTCCCTAGAAGTCCAGTTCGACTTATATTTGGCACCATCGAAGGAAAGGAATTCCTTTGCGGGTCACCAAAAGACAATTCTCAAAATAGTCTTGAACTCCTAGGGGATTCGCTTGGTCGAGCTCAACAAATTCGTCGATTCTGTCGCATCAGTCAGGCCCTTCGCCCACATCATCAGCTCGCCGTTTGTGCTGCTCAGCTGAGTGCAGCTGATTCCGTGCATGGCCTCCAGCCGGCCACAGAGGTCATCTCTCAGGTTGACTGGATAAAGTTGTGGTGTATTGAGACAAGTGACAATGATTGCACCTTCCTTTTGTTCAATCCGTTTTCATTTGTTCATGCTCTATTTGTTCATGCTCTTTAGTGATAGTTATTTTAGTTTTTTTGTTTTTCACATGTTTCTTCTAAAATTGACATACCCTACGCACCCAAACCCCATACTGTAAATTTGTAGGGTCTCAATTCTCAATCGAAACCTCGGTATTTTTGTAAAATCAAGCATCAATTGGGTTTGTTCTTAAAGCCTCGGGTCTTGTTTTTCTAACCCGCCCGTACTAACCCATATTTTAGTACTGGTCTGGAAAGCCTCGGGTTGCCTTCGACACTATGCATAAATTTGTAAGGTTTGGGTGCGTAAGGTAAATTCTATTGCTTCTCATGGAGATCGATGGAGATCTCCATCGCTGAGGCGCTGTATTGAGACGGCGGTGCCCGTGGCCCAGCGATTGGGCCTTCCAATCAAGGTCGAGCCGGGCATTTGCGAGATCCTGCAGGCGGGCGGGTGGGCCCAGCTGGTGGGAAAAACAGGAAGAAAAGGCACCTGGTGTTTTTGTTTTGTTCCGCTTTTTTGTATTGTATTTCTTCAAAGTGGTGCACTGGTGATGATTGCAGCGTGGTATGATGGTGGTGCATCATGAAGCATGAAGCACATGTTCGAAATCGATTCCCGGATTCCGACAACAATTTAATGATGAAAAACACATGTTGTACTAAAGACTTTACTACACAACAAGGCCGTTCCCATGTCTTAAAACAGTCCAATGGAGGCGGCGATCTGCAACACGTCGGCCACACCATGGCTTCAGGTCTTCCCGCCAGGCTTCCTGGACGCCGAGGATCTGGAGAAGCAGTTCAAGCGCGGAGTCCCGGAGTCCAACCCATGTGATGTGGTTCTCTAAGGGGGGCGATGCTTAGGGAAAGAAGAGGTACACTTCAAATTACTAAGAATATTAAGAATCATTGGGACATTCTGAACAATGAAGTCTTTTTGTCCAAGATCTGGGCCTCTTTGGCCAGTTTCATGTCGCCACATCCGCTATTTTGCGATGTTCTTTCACGATCTTTATATGATATATACTCGTACACACACACACACATATATATATATATATTTGCATATAATATATGTATGTCTTTGTGATCTCAAAGCCTTCCGATGTAGAGAAACACCCACTGGATCAGACCGGCAGAGAGCGCTCTCCCAGGTGCATCGATCTCTCCTACGAGCCCCACACGCTGCGCGGCGCCCTGCGCGGCGAAGCCTCGGATGGCCAGGCGGCGCAGCGCGCCGCCCGCACCGCCCTGGCGCTGAGGGCGCCTGGGCGGGGGTTCATCCTCGGTGAGGGCCAGGTCAAGAAATGGGGAGGAAGACATGGGGAGGAGGAAATCTGTAGATTTGGAGGGTTTTCAAGCTTTTTTCATATTTTTGGACCCTGTGATCACAGCGATGTCTTTAAGTAGTGAGTTCTGCTCCCATGCAAAAGTGTGAGAAATCCCTCGGGAAAGTTGCGGATTTTTGTCACTTTGATTGTAGCCTGAGGAGAAACTGCCTGGGCGCATTCTTTTTGTCGGTCATGGCGCATCCTGCCTGGGAATTGCCAGCGCTTTTGGCCGCGACGACTATGCAGCCTGGCCTGGGCTGGTTCTTTTGGCGCTTCGGGCTGGAACAAGCACTGGGGGGGGGCTCCAACCTGCCTTTTGGACCGAGGTGGGCTACACCAGCTTGAGCCATTTCGTGTTTGACGGCACTTGGAAGGTTCAGAGCTTCGGTGTTGTGGACCACTTGAGTGTGCCCTGGCAGCACAAAAAACAGAGAGCGGACACGAATGGGTTCTATGTTCTTCTGCATTGGACTTCAGGAGCCATGGTAACAAATTCTAAACTGGTGGTTTCAGATATTTTCTTCAACCTTCACTTGGTAATGATGGATCCCACTGACTGATATTGTGTTTTTAAAATTGAAACATATTGAACCCACCAACATCCGCCAAGCAGTACAGGTGTCGTTTTCCATTGTGCTCATGCCCATTTGGGGCGACGGATTTGGGATGTTCGTCCCCGCACTTCTCCAAAAATGCCCGCTGCCTGGTTTGCCCGGCTGAGGACAAAGAAACTTCACTCCGAAGCGCATGGTGAGGATGCAAAATCGTGCATGCGGGCCGTGCTGCATGGGCCGGATCATGCGCAGTCGGGAACAGAGGGTTCAAGGGATTGGCGGGCAAGGTAATTGAAGCGAAGTGTCCATCCTGACACGGAACCATGGGCCATCATCATCATCATGGTAACCTTGGAAATCGCGAAGGAACATGCTTTTCGTGACGAAGCTGTCCGCCCAGTACCACCAAGGTTTTTGGAGCCACGAAGGGACAGTCAGTCCAGCACTGGCACAGCCGGGGGGCCAACTAGTTGATCAGAGGCCCAAACGGCCTGGAAGATCGGTCGGAGGTTCTTCCTGAAAAGTAGGCAGGTCTCGATTGAATTCGGACAATTCTTTTCAGTCCAGCGATCGAATTCCATGAAGTTTGAGCTCTTGAAATGACAGCTCCTTGAGCTTTGCTCACATGGGCCTACTCAAACCGGGAGTGTCTCCGGGTTCTGCCAAGGCCTGACCTTCCAGTCGCAAACAATCTTTCGCAGGTTTTTGTGGATTTTGGATGCTTCATTCCCACTTCCAAACCCCTGCGAGTCGGACACCGAGGCAAGTTCCCCAGCTGCCACCAGCTACGAGCGCCTGGATGCAGAGAATGACCCCACCGCGCGCGCGCGCGTTCGGCGCAGCGCCACCCGATGACCTGCCTTTCTGCCAAACACCCGTGTTGACAGGAACAGACCTTGACCAACTGGCCGTGATGACGTTCACGGCCGAGGGATGCCATTTTTGAAGGGTGACCCCTCAACTCACAGCCTTGCCTTGCAGGACCAGCGCCTGCGCTCCTTCAAACAGGTGTGCTTTCTTGGGGCTGTTTGCTCTTTGCGCGTGAGTGGATTTGGGATGATTTGGGGGAAACCTTTGGAGGGAGGAGCATTTGATGCGGCAGAAAGATAGAAAGGAAGGAGAAGTTTCGACTGCAGCCTGTTTGAAGACCCTGATGAGCTGTGGGAAATGAACATGCCATCATGCCATCACAACATTTGACACATGCACGCATACACAAAACAGGTGGATGAGTCAAAGGAAGTGTATTTTCAACACATCTCAGAACAACTAAGAACAACAACTCTAAGACCATACTGTCACCCCTTGATCTTTCAGCTTTCGAAAGACACCGAGCTCTTGCCACCGAACGAATCATCGCTTAGGGCGAGTCCCTGGGGCGTGGAGCCTACGGTGAAGTGCCCGGTGGCCCAAACGGGCCGGCATCAAACAAGGTCGGACCCCACAAATGCGTTGGGTGACACATAGCGTGGGTGTCTGGAGGTTCGAGATGGGTGCTTTGGGCGCAGTACCACACAGGTCAGGTGCGATTCGAACGGAAAAGAAGGTATGTTATATGTTCCAATGCTTTTACACATCGTGTTTTCCAGGCTGCTCAGTATACAGGCCAAATGCGGAAACCGAGTTGTTGCGGGTATATAAACATTCTGGATTCTTCCTCCAATCTCTGAGCTTTCTGCAGTCTGGAGAACTTTGCGCATGCGCATGCAAAATGTGTGGCCAAAAGCCCGCTACTGTAACAGTTCTACTTTCAGATTTTTCAGCAGACTTGAGGGGATTTGTATGAATCTTCAGTGGTTTAACTCCCAAAGCTCTAACTACAACCTGAAAGCCTTTTTCACCAAAGAAGGTGTTGGTGAACCACCTCAAGGCCTCGCTCTAGCGCTAGGCCATGCTAGGCCTGGTTCTCGGTTTCGTACACCAAACGATCGGTCGGTTTTTCCGAGAGTCTTTAAGCCGTCGTTCTTCGTCTCGGGGTTGAGGTTCAAGGCGATGGTGGCCGGGAGGTTCATGGCGGTCAAAAAGGCTTGGTGGTGGACCCGTTTGGGTGGCGCGTGGCGCGTGGTGGCGCGTGTAATGGAAGTTTGACACATCCAGGAAACATTCATTCAAGTCTGATCGTTTTCCAAGTCGACTGTCGGATGGTATCCACATCCCCGATGGAATATCCACTATGAAATTGGGGGGTGTCATCCCCCTCTATAAAACGTTTTATGATGTTTTACGTATTAACTTTTGGGGGATACACCCCCTCTTTTCATAGAAAACGACTCTTTTCAGGATGGCGAGTGATTTTTGCACCCCGCCATTTCATAGAAAGACATACTTTCTCCCGGATGGTGATTGATTTTGGGCTGTGGAATCAAGATGTATGTGAGCAATGCTGTTCAGAGATGTATAGATTTTTGTTTGAATCCAGGTTGGAGAAAACAACTTTTGGAAGAATTTTCATGAACGAGAAAACAGGAGCCATTTGGCAACAAGAAGCAGCTGGAAACACAAACAGTGAGTGGCTGGAGAGATTTAGAATGATCTAGATCTATATAGAGAATAGTAATTTTTAAGCAAACTTCAGCATCAGTGTCAAACATCTAGCCTGCTTCTAGCCTGCTTGGGCTTGGCCAGAAACCACCATACTATACCATACTATAGAATGGCAAGGCTTGACCTTCCCAGGGTCCATAAAGCTGTTGCCAGAACACACCCAAATAATGACCCATGAGGGTCCAAGAGACTTGGCAAGTCTTTGGGGCACAGCTTCTGGCAACAGCTTTATGGACCCTAGGAAGGCCACGCCTTGCCATTTTATAGTATGGTGGTTTCTGTCTCTTGGGGCATTTAAGATCATGTCAGTATAACCTAGGAAGATCTCGGGGGCAAGTTGCCTGGAATGTACAAGGCCAACAACAACCACCTGCAAACAAAAGTAGTGCATGGAGAGATGTAGAGATATCTAAATGGTAAAAGTACAAGCAAATTTCAGGTGGTAAAACATCCTTTCATGTTGGAGTTTCTGGACGTCATTCTTGATGTCCTTTGCTCTTTCTATGCAGGAACGCATTGCCATTTTATGGTGCTACTCATGTATGTTGGAGATGTGTTTTGAGGTCAGCCCCCCCTCAATTTATGAAATTCTTTGTGAGGTCACTACTCCTCATTTTATAGCCAGACTCATGGTGCCGAGGTCAATGCACACCGTTTTATAGCTATAAAATGGCTCCCTAGATCCCCACCCTGGTATTTCAACGGGGATGTATCCACTCTTTTTTTTTTTTGGTGAAGCAACACACTTGTTGAAGTAGAATCTTGAACGATGGGTTGCTTATTCAAATATCACTGGAAGTTGATGAAGAACTGAAGATTCAGGTTTCTGGACTCCATGGACACGGATTCCAGATCCAGGGTCTTTCGGCTCTCAGGTTCAAAGGGTCATTTGCTATAGACTCCCTGCGAAAGCATGCGATTTCGCTGGAGCTTTCTTTCGTCCCAGAGACTTGAGCAGATTTGAGCAGCTTTCCTTGAAGAAGACTTTGGCCCAGGAAGGGCTGAGACGTTGGAGAAATCAGCCACTTTGTCCGACATGCCGTGACAAGAGGCTTGGCCCACCTGCAGGAGGCTTGGAGACGGCCGGAAGGCCCTCATCACCGTCCGTCGATGAGTCGAGTCGGCCCCACCAAGGAGGGGGTGACTGAAGCTACGAGGGGAATCGATTGAGCCAACTCAGTTGAGGAATCGAGTCCTGAGCTTCCAGAGCTTCACATTTGGCAATGATTTCGACGAGTTTGGAGGGAGTGGCCCGGCCGAGCAGCCTTCAGACGGCGTTTGGTGAGTGGTTCCAGGAACAGACAGTCAGCAGTGTCGAGTTGTTTGAGCATTGGCGCGTAAAAGACGAAGAGAGACTGGCGGAGAATAGTTCTGCCATTTCGCGTCGCAAATCAACGTTTCAACGCAACTTCAGTTGATTGAAGTCGTTGGGCGATTTCCGCCGTTGGGCGAAGGTTACGGAAACCGAAGCCCCATTTAGGGCAGAACGTCACCATCGCCGCGCACGTCTTCGGTCGGGGCCGGAATGGGATCCCTGCAGTCGCCGATGCTTTGGCCATTTCATTCATGGACAACATGCAGGGCAGGAACTTCCAAATGGACCACAGAAGGCTCAGGTTGACCTCACCCAGAAACACAAGACAAGAACCATGACGAACCAAGGTACCGAGAACCCAACGTGTTTATGTTTCAATAGCCAACTCAGTGCAGGCATATCTAGTAGGCTTTGTGCCACGTCAGAACTTTGTAAATCTGATAGCTCTGGCCCAGAACAACAAAGGCATACAAAGACCAACACTGACTAAAATTGAAAAGGTCACCTCAGGACTCATGACAAACATAGACAAACCAAGTGCAAGGTTTCTTCTATTTGGGCGAGGGATTTTTGCTTGGAAGCACTTCTGGTGGGGCCCAGAGGAGTCCACTCCCTGACCTTCAGAAAATCGGTTCCTGCTTTCTGTTCCTGGGGAGCACCCCCGGTTGCGGAGGTGTCGGATTTTGTATTCGTTTATACTGTAAGTATATGTATAATTATATACATATTAATTCTTAATAAATTAGGTATATAAATTACAACTAATGGATCCTCAAGAGGATATAAATACACATGTATATATATCTTATCCTGTAAACATATCTCCTCAAATATTATGTATATATTTATGCTGTACTTGAAAAACATAAAATAAAGCTCAAAAGATCCTCAATGCAGACGCCGTTAGAAGCTTTGGTCTCAAAGACTTGGGGTCTCGGTCGATCTTGGAGCGGGGACGTGACGTAGGGAAACTGAAAAATGCCAATGGGGCCAACGGGCAGCACTGGTCGCTACATCGAGTCTGTGGCCAGATCCCATTGGACTTCAGCCTGGCTCAGAAGCAAGCTGAGCGGGAGACGTGGCGGCGGGGGTTTGGATGGGACAGTTGGACGTGAGGGATCGACAGTTTGCGATCCCATTGGACCTGTCTGTTGTTGGTTTCCCGAATCATTATGTTATTCTGAAAGAAGATATACTGCCAGGATTGGTGGGATCTTATCATCGCATCCTCCGCGTCTGTCCTGTTGAGTGGGTCGCAATGGAGACATATATAGCTGGTCGATTTTTGCCCATGGGATGGACCTGAGAGAGACAGAGAGAGAGAGAGAGAAACAGTCTCAATATGTTTTAGAATGTTTTAGAGGGGAACCTGAGGGATTCATGGGTCCACCTTTCTCATCCTTCCTGAATGTGTGATCCAATATATATATATATATTATGTCATATTCTATCTATCATATTTGCAGGGCACTTTCCTTCAGGCTATCGCAGGTATAGCACAGACTGAGAATTTGCTTCCCACCCGGCAGCTCGGATCATCGCAGCTCTTCGGATCGTCGATCGTGTTGCTCCGTATTGTCGCAGGAGGCCAATGTCCTCTTGCAAGAGATCAATACCCTGAAACGATTGAAGCATCCCAGGACAGATTCCCAAGAATGGCATCCAGTCCCATGTCAGGTTTTCATGTGGGGGGGAATGGGACTCGACATCAGGACTCTTGGATCAAATCAAATCCCAAGTGGTGGTGAAAGGTAGGGGGTTCTGCCCCAAAACTAGCATGAACGTGATTGGAGCCACGGTCCACAGGGATCCACAGGGTATAGATATTGTAGGTGCAATTCATGTGTTGAGATGAAGGAGATCTCAGTCGACATTTGTGCCACCCCTCCCGGCGGCTGTGCAGAGGATTGTCCGGTACCACGGCTGTATCCGGATGCACTCTGAGGAGCTTCCGACGGACTGAGTTTACCAAATAAATACTGTAAGCGAACTGGAGTATTTTGTATGGAAGGAATGGGTACCGTGGATAGAAAGAATCTTGGCTTGCCCAAACCTAATTGCAGACAGAGAGCAGACCGAGGACCTTGAGAATGTTCCCTGGTGCACCAGTTTGTACATATGTCTTGAGATGTCTTGAGACCCCAGAGACTCAGCTCCCCCCCAAAAAGGATGCAAGTAGATGACCTTTCGTAGGATTGGGTCCTTGGAGTCCAAGGGTTTTGAAACAACAAGCACAAACTTACCACATTCGATCACATTTATAGGAGCTTATGGTTCTTCACACGGCATCCAAGGGCTGCGCTGTTTCAGTCTAAGAGCTGCGCTATGTCGTGACATAGAGTGACTGTCCCGGCACCGCAGAGGCCACTCGCGGCACCGCGGGCGAACCGCTTTCCCCGAAACCGTCCGCAACGTTCGATCGGATCCCTCATGCGTGATCCGATCCGTCATCCCGATGCCTAAGCTCATGATGTAGAATTCATGGCTATGATGGATTTGACTCATACTTGAGAAACGACCGGAGTCCAACGGAACATCAATTTACTGGTATAAGTACGAGAATGCCATGTCACACGTGGCTATTCCAAGGTGCCAAGCACTTGACATCAAACACTTCAGCCCACGGGTCCCTCCAAGTCAGGCCACTTCGCCTTTGGAGTTCGAGCTCGCTCGCTCGTACCGGACACAAAAACAGGTCCTTTCTGCATACAGAATATCAGTAGGGTGGGCGGACCTCAGTTCCTTTTCCAAAAAGGCAAAGAGAAAAGCAAGATGGTCATACTATACTTCTTCCAAACGTGGCCGTTTTGCCGTTTTCTTCCTTCGAAAACAGGGCGTGCGACCGAAAATGCCTCAGGAGGACCCAGCACTGCTGATCTTCCTGGAGTACATGCCCAGCGGCTCCATCAAAGCGGTGCCCAGCTTCGTTCACCAAAGCGTCGTGAACCAACGACCGCATTGGCATCGGTGGTGATCGCACTGCTTTTTGTTGGCTTTTTATGCTGGTTCTGCCAAAAAACGTTGTTTTGCTGTCCTGTGCCCGTCGTTTTGGATTCTTTCGGGATCGACCGAAAGAACAATGAGAACAATGCAGGTGCTGCAAAAGTTTGGTGCGTATGGGATTCGCCTGGTGAAGAAGTACACGAGGCTTGGAGTTGTCGACGAGAGAAGATATCGCTGCAGGGGAGGTTTGTCTACGAGTCCAACCAGTCTACGTATGTCTACGATATGTCACATATAATGTTTATGTTTTTTGTTTTACTTTTGAAAAACTATATGTTTGGGCAGCACATAATCCAAGAGTTTGTTCGTTTCAGCTCAGCTCCCAAGCTTTTGAGATTGGACATCCGATAATTTGACGATGCCTTGAGCGGCTGCAACGCACTGCGGCGTTTGAGGCAAATCTTGGAGGGCCTCGATTTCCTCCACAACGAGAAGATCGTCCACCGGGATGTGAAAGGCGAGAAGAGTTGGCTGGCCACAGTGTTTGTGCTTTCAGAAGATCACAAAAAAGTACAAAAGAGATCAGTTGGTTTATGCCGGTTTGTGCCCACGCAAGAAGTGGGTGATGCTTTTGCCTGGGTTGGCTTGGCACCGGTTCAGGGTGCTGAAGTGTTGCAGATGACATGTCCCATCTCACAGTCCATCACTTGCGAAAAGGGTCAGATCCTTGCTCGCACCGGTGGTGGGTCTACCTCGCATCCATCCACAGGTGTAGTCGTGCCAGACGACTCATATGCCGGCCTCCAAACAATTTTTGTTCAAAGTCATCCATAGCTTGGAGCGTTTAGACAGCAGCTTTATTCAAGAGCTCCTTAAGTACCAGCGCGGAGCAACCACTTTAGAAGTGCCTCCGAGGCCCATGTTCTGGAATAAACTTATCGCGGATTTCCACAGTGGTCATCGAAAGCAAACAAGACGACAGGCGCAAACATCCTCATCGACGCTTCTGGGAATGCGAAGTTGGCGGACTTTGGCGCTTGCATGCAGCTGGAGGTCGGACGTTTTTGCCGTGGAACCGTTCCGGAAGCCAACGTTGTGGTGACTGGTTTGGAGTACAGAGGTTTCATTTCCTTTTTCAAAGGTCGTGCAGACTAAGCTCCCTTTGGATCCCATTGGTGCATGTCATGTCTTCGCGGAGCGGTTTTCATTGAGGAAGGTAATCGTTGCCCCGGCTGATTCTCGTCAGCAGCTGGTGGACGTTCCCTTGCTGCCGTATGGCCCAAGAGCTGTGATTGTCAATGACCAGATGGCACTCTCCACCCAGAGCAGCCACTTGGAACCATCCTTCATGGGGTTCCCACACTACTTCTCCATGGTTTTCTACCCTTCAAGGATCTTCAAGGCATCGATGTTTATCATGTCAACTGTTCCAACTGATGCCCACTGTCCGTCAGTGTCCCCCCGACTCTGGGTGCAACACATGGCCATGTGGCCGGCACCGACACCGGTGGATGTGGCACGCCTTGTGCATCCTTCATGTGGCCGGTTCGCCGCTTCAATCTGCCTGCGCAAAGTAGCAGGGACGGAAGGAGAGGGAACGCAAGCAACATCATGTGTGAGACGGCCCAAGAATCAGTGAATTCTTTGGTCAAACACGAACAACATAGCAATCAGTGTGGGCAGAAGGACCCTTTCTCCAATCCGTGAACAGGACCAGGACCGCTTTGGCCAAAACGAATCGGATGGATAGCACTTGCAGGCGAGCCGGGCGCTTTCATCCGCTTTCGTTGGCACGGGTCTTGTGTGAGGTGAGAGCCAATTCTTGCAAGCTGAATATAGTATCTCAAAAATACCGTTACCATCCGTTACCTGTCACTACTAGTAAGGCACCTTGCTACTACCTTGTAGTGCCTGGATGTGGCCGTCAGACTCGATGACTTCTCACTCGATCGCCTCGCCGGGCCGGCCGAGGCGGCCTGGGCCGGCGCGGCTTGGCGCAGCACCGATGGCCGCGCGGGCCGAGCGCGGGGGTGGTGGTGCTGTGCAGCGAGGATGGTGAGGCGCCATGGAGAGTGGCAGGAAGAGGAAGGGGAAGAAGGCAGTGACAAGGAAAATGCACTGGAAACATCGTTCCATGGAGGTTGCTTCGAGGGTAGGAGTGTCTAAAATTGACGGAGTGGATTTCTAGTCTATATATGTTTTCGCCCAGCGTGAGGCCACAGAAGCTGAACCAGCGTCCGAGGACTGGAACGTTGACAAGCAAAAAGAGTGTTGGAACCAAAGCCATCCATCAGCATCCAAGTTCACCAAAAGTCAGGGAGAAGATGGGGGAAGGGAACCACAACTGCAAGAATACAACCACTGAGAGCCTTAGGGCTGTTGTTTGGAGTGTGGTTCCTAGCAGAGAGGGTCGTTGTTCATTACATCGTTAGCTATGCATGATCCGCGGGTGTTGGAATTGGTGTAGAGGGGGCGTTGCCGCAAGGAGAAGAGCGCGGACGAGAAGGAGCCTGAACAAAAGAGAGAGGCGAGCGAAGAAAAGCAGGAGGAGAAAAAGGAGGAGAAGAAAGAGGAGAAGAAAGAGGAGAAGACGGAAGAGAAGAAGGAGGAGAAATCGGAAGAGAAGAAGGAGGAAAAGGAGGAACAGAAGGAAGAGAAGCCGGAAGAGACGAAGGAGGAGAAGGAGGAGAAGAAGGAGGAGAAGAAGGAGGAGAAGAAGGAGGAGAAGGAGGAGAAGCCGGAAGAGAAGGAGGAGAAGAAGGAGGAGAAGACTGAAGAGAAGTCGGAAGAGAAGCAGGAGGAGAAGAAGGAGGAGAAGCCGGAAGAGAAGGATGAGAAGCCGCAAGAGAAGGAGGAGAAGCCGAAAGAGAAGCCGGAAGAGAAGGAGGAGAAGAAGGAGGAGAAGCCGGAAGCTCAGAAGGAGGAGAAGAAGGAGGAGAAGCCAGAAGAGAAGAAGGAGGAGAAGGCGGAGGAGAAGAAGGAAGCAAAGGAGGAACAGAAGGAAGAGAAGCCGGACGAGACGAAGGAGGAGAAGAAGGAGGAGAAGCCGGAAGAGAAGAAGGAGGAGAAACCGGAAGAGAAGAAGGAGAAGAAGGAGGAGAAGCCGGAAGAGAAGGCGGAGAAGAAGGAGGAGAAGCCGGAAGAGAAGAAGGAGGAGAAGCCGAAAGAGAAGCTGGAAGAGAAGTCGGAGAAGAAGGAGGAGAAGCCGGAAGAGAAGAAGGAGGAGAAGCCGAAAGAGAAGCCGGAAGAGAAGAAGGAGGAGAAGAAGGAGGAGAAACCAGAGGAGAAGTCGGAGGAAAAGAAGGAGGAAAAGAAGGAGGAGAAGCCGGACGAGAAGAAGGAGGAGAAACCGGAAGAGAAGAAGGAAGAACAGAAGGAGGAGAAGACATCGCCAGAGGAGTTTCAGGACAGCAAAGAATCCGAGAAGGAGCCAACGCTTTTTTCGGTCAACCAGTGGTTGCTTTCATGTTGTTTCTTTTTTTGCAAGGCAAATCAGCATGGTCTTCAGATGAGCCCGGGCATTTAAATGGGACCGGGTCACACGGTCACACCGGGTCGGCCCGTTCCGAGTGAGGAGGCGAAAGCGCGAAAGGCGGACTTGGAGCTGCCACCGCGTGAGACGACGGAGGATGAGGTGAACCAACAGGCGACGACGGAGGAATGCGACCCATTCTCAAGATGTCCTGCAATGTCCCTGCAACAAGCATAACGGATTCGAATCGGAAGACACGCCGTGAACGAACGAACTCACTTCGTGGTAGACGTGTTCATCATGTTTTATTTTGATGTTCCCGTTCCATGTAAAGAGTTGGCCCCTCAGATAGGTTGAGCAAGGTTTCATCCTGCAAACGAATGCGTCATGGAGTTCCTCTTCACGTTCGCTACCTCTGAAAACAAGACATGTCGATGACTCTTTCAAAGCCCTCGACCCCTCCAAATGCTTTCTCGATTCTCTCCAAGAACTTCAGCCATTTTCTTCCTTCCTTTCCACTCCCCAAGCACTTCCGGAAACATGCAATACTCCCCCGGTAGATTAACATGGACCCCAAATGACCCCAACATCAATGGCTTGGTATTCGGACAATGGTCCAAACCACCGGTTTTCCTTCTCAGGTTCCATGGGATCGTTTGGAGATATCTGATATCACCAACAATGATTCCGGGCACCCGGGCTTCACCCGCGCTTCACGAGACGCTGCAGCGCTGCTGCCAGGCCGCAGAGGTGGCCCAAGTCTTGGCCGCGCAAGAGCAGTCCGAAGAGGCCCCGTGTGGGTGGTTCCCGCGGAGGTACCGGTCGCGTCCGTTGGCGTTTTCCAGTTTGGCGGTCCGTTGAAAGAGGGTTTTCTAAGGAAACACCAGCCCCTGAACAGGACGGAGACCCTTCTTGTTGGGTGATGGTGACCATCGTTTTTGTTGCTTCAGCATGCTTGCTTCAGCATGCGATATCATCCGATACAGGACTTCTTGTTTGTGTCAGTCTTGCTCGCTCGATGCGGCTTCGCACTGCGCGAGGCAGCGGGCAAGAGCTCGGGCATCTTAGGGAAAGTACTTCGAGAGATGAAGGACAAGGGAAAGATGGGTGGATTGGGATCGAACGATGTCCACCTCTGGTTCCGCATGCCGCATGACTAGGAGAGAGGTCCGAACCGGTCGTTGAATAGAAGTGCAACCCTCTCAGACTCGAAGCATTCCGAGATGCATAGCTGCACAAGATTTGCTCCAGAATCCCAACAAGAACGTCTGAGACCTACCGACGACCCGACGACCCGAGATCATGTCGGTTGGTGTGTCCCATGTGTTTAAAGACCCAAGAGTTGCCGCAGGCACCTCGTCTCACCCACAGAGAGGACGATCATGAAAACCCTCTCCGCGTCGTCTGGACCTCTCTCATCTTCGTAGCGTCCGATCGCTCCGTTCGTAGTAAGGCCAAGAGCCCCGATCGTAGCGAACCTTGTTCCTAGTCGCGATGCCAGGAGCCCCGTTCGTAGCGTCCTTGCTCGGTCCGGAGGAGGAAGTGAAAGAACTCTTCTACACTTTTCCCCAGGTGCATGGCACAGGGAGCGAGCGGTAGATGGCACATGCGCAGGCTACACAGTAGATGGCGCAAGCGCCACTTTGATACACCATAAACCAAAGTGCCAAGTAGGGGCGCCATCTACTATAGACATGGCCTCACGTTCCACATCCCAATCTTCAAACTCTTTTTCCCCCTTTATGTGGTAACATGTTTGCATTGAATATGTCTTTGTTTCCCACATGTGACATGTGCTTATGAGCCATTCGTGAGTGGAAGCATGTCTGACCTCTCAAAAAACAAACGCCATCCATTATCCCCTGTCCAATGCTTGGTTTCTGGGTAAGTTCTCATACCCGTATAGATGGCGCACAAGGTATGAAACCTACATGTTTCAATGCCAAGCACCTTCGGAATAGAGTATTGGAATCGTGCCTGGTACCCCATCGCGCCCTTGGACTACCTGCACTCGGATCGGCCCAATCCGGTGAAGCTGCTGGGGAAGCGGATGGTCCTTTGGTACTCCGACCCAGTCGCTTTTAGAAAAGGGGAACGGAAGGTGGGGTGGTGCCGGACCTGCCACCTACTCAGAGGATCTCAGGGGGGTGGTACCCGGTGATAGGTTCTTGATAGCTATGATCTTTCAAGGAGTCTTCTTGGTCCGACTTTTCCTTGTACGTACATGGACCATTGACATATGCATATTGCATAGACTCAATTAGACATGTCTGGGGGAAGACAGAAGACAGTAAATACTTCCCGTTTTTGGTCCTTGAGGTCGAGGTAGTGGTCAAGTCTTCAAAAAGACGGTGATGTTGATGATGTTTGCACTATAGGAGGTATATTCAACGACATGTCCTGCCAGCAAGGGGGCTCATAGCAAAATGGCCTCACTCTAGCCTGCGAGCGGGGTGTGCTGCTTTGCACTTGGTGCTTTCAAAAGGTGAAAGTGAGGAAGTTCAGAAGAACCTGACGGGCTTCCTTGAGCCGTTGCTTTGTCAGACCAACGGGTGTTTATTCTGAATTGAGTATCCGCAGTATCCTCAAGGCCAGTTGCTACAAGAAGGATCAAAACCTTGTGGGCTGCCCCTAGAACTTGCGAAGAAACCCGCCAAAGACCAGCATGTCACGACTTTTTTGCCCTTGTGGTTGCTTTCATGTTGTTTCTTTTTCCCGAATGCGTAGCGAAGGGTTCTCGTTTAACTCTTGGGGGTCTGGGGGTAGAGCCTTGTTCGCGACCCGTTGCTTCTATGTTCGCAACCGTCCGCAACCGTTCGCAACCGTCCGCAACCGTTTGCAGTAGGACGCTAAGGCGCTGCCATTGGGGGAAGCTTTTGCAAGTGACTTTTCATGGATGTGTCACGTGTCAGTTTGCGCCGCTATTCCATTGTGATTTGCATGAAAATGAGATGTGGCGCAAGAAACGTGATGCATTTCGCTGCGCAGGCGCAGTGGTTTGAGAGATCCGCAGTTTACTGCGCAGTTCCATTGGGATTAGCGTTTGGAGAGTCGTGTTTTTGGGGTGTTGGATGTGGCCGTGCCATTCAGATTTGCGTTTCAGGGTGTGGCATCGAAGCTCTGTTTTCGTGACAAGTCTCAGCTGAAATGGTGATTTTGGTGGATGGGAGTGTGCTCAGAACGGGTCGAAATCATTCTAAGCGTGTGGTGTGGTGCAAATTTTGTTGAAGCTCACGTGAGATGATATTCTCACTTTTCGTGGCAGGCACAGTACTTTGTGCTGATTTTGAGGTGTGGAAGTGCGATTTTCGTGGCAGGCGCAGGAAATCGTGAGGTTGCGAGGTGTGACGGAGGTGACATTTCGTGGCAGGCGCAGTACTTTGTGCGCGTTAGACGTGTGGATGCGGAAAGATTCGTGGCAGGCGCAGGGAAACGTGCGGTCGTGAGTTGTGGTAGAGGTGAATGTCGCTGTCACATTGGGATTGGCGTGTGAGCGGGTATTGTTTGGAGGGGCTGGACTCGCGAAACTGCTTGGCAGGGCTGCGTGATGTGTGTGCTCCGATGGGTGTTTCCGCTTGACTTTTGGAGGAAGTCTCGTACGAAATCCTCGTTTTGCAGACTTTGACATGTGAGTTTTGGAGGAAGTCTCGTACGAAACGCTCGTTTTGGGGACTTGACACGTGACTTTTGGAGGAAGTCTCGTACGAAACGCTCGTTTTGGAGACTTGACGTGTGACTTTTGGAGGAAGTCTCGTACGAAGCGCTCGTTTTGGAGACTTGACGCGTGACTTTTGGAGAAAGTCTCGAACGAAACGCTCGTCTTGCGCAGCCTCGAAGCGTGACTTTCGGAGGACGTCTCGTACGAAACGCTCGCAGGACTGCTTCTAGTGTGCCACAAGAGTGTCCCACAAGAGTGTCCTACAAGAGTGTCCCACAGCCACAAGAGTGTCCCACAAGAGTGGTCCTACAAGAGTGTCCCAGAAGAGTGTCCCACAAGAGTGTCCTATAAGAGTGTCCCACAAGAGTGTGCTACAAGAGTGTCCCATAAGAGTTTCCTACAAGAGTGTCCTACAAGAGTGTCCCACAAGAGTGTCCCACAAGAGTGTCCCACAAGAGCGTCCCACAAGAGTGTCCTACAAGTGTGTCCTACAAGAGTGTCCCACAAGAGTGTCCCACAAGAGTGTCCTATAAGAGTGTCCCACAAGAGTGTCCTACAAGAGTGTCCCACAAGAGTTTCCTACAAGAGTGTCCCACAAGAGTGTCCCACAAGAGTGTCCCACAAGAGTTTCCTACAAGAGTGTCACACCAGAGTGTCCCACAAGAGTGTCCCACAAAATTGTCCCACAAGAGTGTCCTACAAGAATGTCCTACAAGAGTGTCCCACAAGAGTGCCCCACAAGAGTGTCCTGCAAGAGTGTCTCACAAGAGTGTCCCACAAGAATGTCCGACAAGAGTGTCCCATAAGAGTGACCCACAAGAGTGTCCTATAAGAGTGTCCCACAAGAATGTCCGACAAGAGTGTCCCATAAGAGTGACCCACAAGAGTGTCCTATGAGAGTGTCCCACAAGGAGTGTCCTACAAGAGTGTCGTGTAAGAGTGACCCACCAGAGTGTCCCAGAACCGTGTCCTACAAGAGTGTCTACAAGAGTGTCCTGCAAGAGAGTCCCACAAGAGTGTCCTGCAAGTGACCCACAAGAGTGTCCTACAAGAGTGTCCGACAAGAGTGTTCCACAAGAGTGTCCCAGAAGAGTGTCCTACAAGAGTGTCCCGCAAGAGTGTCCTACAAGAGTGTCCCACAAGAGTGTCCCACAAGAGTGCCCCGCAACAGTGTCCCACAAGAGTGTCCCAGAAGAGTGTCCCACAAGAGCGTGCTATAAGAGCAAGAGTGTCCCACAAGAGTTTCCTACAAGAGTGTCCCACAAGAGTGTCCCACAAGAGTGTCCTACAAGAGTGTCCCGCAAGAGTGTCCCACAAGAGTGTCCCAGAAGAGCGTCCCACAAGAGTGTCTCACAAGAGTGTCCCTTAAGAGTGCCCTACAAGAGTATCCCACAAGAGTTTCTTGCAAGAGTGTCCCACAAGAGTGTCCTACAAGAGTGTCCTATGAGAGTGTCCCACAAGAGTGACCCACAAGAGTGTCCCATAAGAGTGTCCCACAAGAGTGTCTTACAAGAGTGTCCCATGTCCCACAAGAGTTTCCTACAAGACTGTCACACAAGAGTGTCCCACAAGAGTGTCCTACAAGAGTATCCCACAAGAGTGTCCCACAAGAGTGTCCTACAAGAGTGTCCCACAAGAGTTTCCTACAAGAGTGTCACACAAGAGTGTCCCACAAGAGTGTCCTACAAGAGTATCCAACAAGAGTGTCCCACAAGAGTGTCCTACAAGAGTGTCCCACAAGAGTGTCCCACAAGAGTATCCCACAAGAGTTTCATACAAGAGTGTCCCACAAGGAGTGTCCTACAAGAGTGTCGTGTAAGAGTGACCCACAAGAGTGTCCTACAAGAGTGTCTCACAAGAGAGTGTCCCATAAGAGTGCCCGACAAGAGTGTCCTACAAGAGTGTCCCACGAGAGTGTCCTACAAGAGTGTCCCTCCCACAAGAGTGTCCTACAAGAGTGCCTTTCAGGAGTGTCCCACAAGAGTGTCCTGTAAGAGTGTTCCACAAGAGTGTCCTACAATGTTACAAGAGTGACCCACAAGAGTATCCTACAAGACTGTCCCAGAAGAGTGTCCCAGAAGAGTGTCCTACAAGAGTGGGTATTCAAATGGGTCCCCCAACGAAGGATGGGTCGTCCTTTCCCGCCTTTCGGGACCGGGTCACACGGTCACACCGGGTCGGCCCGTTCCGAGTGAGGAGGCGAAAGCGCGAAAGGCGGACTTGGAGCTGCCACCGCGTGAGACGACGGAGGCTGAGGTGAACCAACAGGCGACGACGGAGGAATGCGACCCATTCTCAAGATGTCCTGCAATGTCCCTGCAACAAGCATAACGGATTCGAATCGGAAGACACGCCGTGAACGAACGAACTCACTTCGTGGTAGACGTGTTCATCATGTTTTATTTTGATGTTCCCGTTCCATGTAAGGAGTTGGCCCCTCAGATAGGTTGAGCAAGGTTTCATCCTGCAAACGAATGCGTCATGGAGTTCCTCTTCACGTTCGCTACCTCTGAAAACAAGACATGTCGATGACTCTTTCAAAGCCCTCGACCCCTTTCCACTCCCCAAGCACTTCCGGAAACATGCAATACTCCCCCGGTAGATTAACATGGACCCCAAATGACCCCAACATCAATGGCTTGGTATTCGGACAATGGTCCAAACCACCGGTCAATTCTCAGGTCACTGTATCACCAACAATGATTCCGGTCACCCGGGCTTCACCCGCGCTTCACGAGACGCTGCAGCGCTGCCAAAGGCCGCAGAGGTGGCCCAAGTCTTGGCCGCGCAAGAGCAGTCCGAAGAGGCCCGTGTGGGTGGTTCCCGCGGAGGTACCGGTCGCGTCCGTTGGCGTTTTCCGTGTGGCGGTCCGTTGAAAGAGGGTTTTCTAAGGAAACACCAGCCCCTGAACTGGACGGAGACCCTTCTTGTTGGGTGATGGTGACCATCGTTTTTGTTGCTTCAGCATGCTTGCTTCAGCATGCGATATCATCCGATACAGGACTTCTTGTTCGTGTCAGTCTTGCTCGCTCGAAGTTTCATCTTCGCACTGCGCGAGGCAGCGGGCAAGAGCTCGGGCATCTCAGGAAAAGAACTTCGAGAGATGAAGGACAAGGGAAAGATGGGTGGATTGGCCTCGAACGATGTCCACCTGCGGGGACCTAGTTTTGTCAGAATCGAAGCAGGACGTTCGTTACGCATGACTAGGAGAGAGGTCCGAACCGGTCGTTGAATAGAAGTGCAACCCTCTCAGACTCGAAGCATTCCGAGATGCACAGCTGCACAAGATTTGCTCCAGAATAACGTCTGAGACCTCCAGCTCCGTCAACCGACGACCCGACGACCCGAGATTATGTTGGTTGGTGTGTCCCATGTGTTTAAAGACCCAAGAGTTGCCGCAGGCACCTCGTCTCACCCACAGAGAGGACGATCATGAAAACCCTCTCCGCGTCGTCTGGACCTCTCTCATCTTCGTAGTGTCCGATCGCTCCGTTCGTAGTAAGGCCAAGAGCCCCGATCGTAGCGAACCTTGTTCCTAGTCGCGATGCCAGGAGCCCCGTTCGTAGCGTCCTTGCTCAGTCCGGAGGAGCAAGTGAAAGAACTCTTCGATTGGAATCGTGCCTGGTACCCCATCGCGCCCTTGGACTACCTGCACTCGGATCGGCCCAATCCGGTGAAGCTGCTGGGGAAGCGGATGGTCCTTTGGTGCTCCGACCCGGTCGCTTTTAGAAAAGGGGGGACGGAAGGTGGGGTGGTGCCGGACCTGCCACCTACTCAGAGGATCTCAGGGGGGGTGTACCCGGTGATGGGTTCTTGATAGCTATGATCTTTCAAGGAGTCTTCTTGGTCCGACTTTTCCTTGTACGTACATGGACCATTGACACATGCATATTGCATAGACTCAATTAGACATGTCTTGGGGAAGACAGAAGACAGTAAATACTTCCCGTTTTTGGTCCTTGAGGTCGAGGTAGTGGTCAAGTCTTCAAAAAGACGGTGATGTTGATGATGTTTGCACTATAGGAGGTATATTCAACGACATGTCCTGCCAGCAAGGGGGCTCATAGCAAAATGGCCTCACTCTAGCCTGCGAGCGGGGTGTGCTGCTTTGCACTTGGTGCTTTCAAAAGGTGAAAGTGAGGAAGTTCAGAAGAACCAATTTCTGACGGGCTTCTTTGAGCCGTTGCTTTGTCAGACCAACGGGTGTTTATTCTGAATTGAGTATCCGCAGTATCCTCAAGGCCAGTTGCTACAAGAAGGATCAAAACCTTGTGGGCTGCCCCTAGAACTTGCGAAGAAACCCGCCGAAGACCAGCATGTCACGACTTTTTTGCCCTTGTGACGTGGCGGATCCTTTTTAAGCAGTCAAGATACACCTGGCTCGGGATCTAGGGGACGGCCAAGGAGCTAAAAGTGCTCTCTAGGTTGAAGTCGGAAATTGGTCATCAGGCATGGTGGTCATGAGTCAATTAACTTCCAGCAGGCCTAGCAGCCTAGCAACTTCGGAGCCTCAGCGTTTTAAGGAGAAGAAGACCTGGCACGCAGCACTGGACTCGTGTCCACACCGCATGGCCCCCTTGTCCATTGGAGACATCGACTCGGCTGGCCGCCTGAGATGCCGCTATCATGGCTGGTGCTTCAATTCCGACGCTCGGTCAAGTCCTTCCGCCAGCGTGGGAAGAAGCAGTTCAGTGTCCGTTTTTTCCGCCCCGGGCCGAAGAGATGTGATCGGTTCAAACGGGTTCAAACGAGAGATTTTTCAACTCCAGCGATTGCTAGGCTCCAAAAACTTCGCATAGGAGTCTATAGGAGCTTAGGCGATTCTCCAGTCACATTCGCACCCAGCTACTTGGAGGTGGGGATGAACTCACCCAGTCCGAGAGAGCTGAATTGGAGCTGATGGAGCCGGTGACCGAGTGCAACTCCGATCGGTCCGAGAGGAGCCCAGAGGGTGAGCGAACACCGAAAGTAGGGGGGTTTATAACCTGACCATCCGCAAACTAGCACTGGGGGGATTCTTGATCTCTTACCGGCATGGCCGGTGAACCTCAGCTGTTCTTGAAACCTCAGCCGGTGAACTCAGAGATCAGTCTTCGGCACAGTCCACGGAGATTCACCGATCTTTTATAGGGCCTAAAGGGTCGAACATCTGTCCAAGCCACAAGTCGGGTGACCGGTGGGTCCAGGCGGTGCTGGTGGCGGGTTTTCCCCAGCCAAGGCGGGGAACTGCGTGAAGGTCCCCATGGCGCAGAATGCCAAGGACAATGCCCGCAACTAGGCTGAGCCCAGCTTTTGCACATGGGCCTGACGATCCCCGTCTGTTGGAATTTACAGCTGTGTTTTGAAGCATCCATCAAGGGCGATCATCTGACCAGGGATCAAGAGTTGACATAATTTTGCAAGTGGTCAAGATCGTATGACCAACCTCGCCCAGACCTTGTCTGGCAAGATTTACCTGAGGGAATTGTGAGGGAATATGATGTAGATGAGGGCGACTATGGCTCAGGGTTCACATCCTGGACTAACGATCTTGTTTACTGTGATCATGGTCATCTTTCAAGCCTGGCAAAATCGTCGAACCAACAACAAAAATACACATCCTCCCCAGCGCCCCAGGCATGTGTGGCATGGCTCGGACCTCTTTGACCAGCTTTCCAGTTCAAGTGAAGCAGGCCGGAAGACTGGTCGTCAGGGTCAAATGGCAAAAGTTGCATACGGCTCAAACATAGGCTGTACCGGATATAATTTACCCTAGAAAGTCTGTTATCCAGGGAAAGAGGATCACCACTTGAGTCACTTGTGGTCATTTGGCCACTACGACCTGCTGACCTCGTTGAACTCTTATCGAGTTGTGAAGCTCACTACCTCCTCCAGCGCGACCATCCTCCATTTGTCCATACCATCCTCCATGCTTTTAAGGATCCATTCCCATCCATTGTCCATACCGAGCGTGCTCGGTACCCTCAACACCCCCCACCTGCCCCTTCCCACTCCAAGTCTCGCCGCAGGGCCTGGTGTGGATCTTCCCCTACCTGGGCCCTGACGCGGAGGTCGTTTCCAAGCGCTCCGCGCCCTGCGTGACCCCCGAGTGCGACGACGTGGAGTGGGTGATGACCACGGCGCCCGTGGGCTACCAGGCGGTTTGGGCTTTTGGGAGACATAGTGGAGAAGGGTGACGGTGACTTACATAGATGTAGTTCTCATGTGGACGAGGCAAGGAAGGAAACACATCCATAGGTCCATAGACATCCCCTCGAAGCTGGTCGCCGGTCTCATCATCGCAGGTCTCGGTGGAGAATACCTTCGACCCATCTCATGCGCCCTTCCTTCACAACGGTATCATCAAGTACTCCCCAGAGAAGGCGCCGGCCAATGGAGTGCTCAGGGGTGGGTGGGTTGGAAAGAAAGGCTTTTCTGGTTGGAACCTACCAGAAAGATGATGACAAGTTGTCAGCTTGACTACTGGTTCGTGTGCCGCAGCCAAACCAGCACTAGACAGCACTGCGGCAAAGCCACAGGTGCCGCTCCTTCTCGCGCCGCACACGCAACACGGGGTGTATTCGACGCTCCCTTGACACTCTGATCACCGGGCGACTCTGTTACCCGCATCGTCGGTCGTTCTCGTGCCGTCACATGACGCGCGTTCCGCCCGTCCCTCGAGGCCATTCCCATGTCGAAGTTCGAGCTCCGAGACGGCGAGATCTCCGGGAAGCGCGGCTTCGTCCTGGAGCACGACGGCTACGACCAAGGACGGCTCTGTCTGCCGTCTGCGTCGGCCATGCTAGCACCGATCTTTTTTCGGCATGTGCTGGGCAAACGTGCTGCCAAGAGTGACGGTATCAGAAGGTTCCAATTTCAGAGATTCGTATGACTTGTCACAACCCAAGAGAGAAGTCACAAGGCTTGACGTCACCATGAACGATACAGATTGTTAGGATCTGTGTGCAACATTGAATCATGATCTATAGCGTGTAGGTTTCACCAATCATGGATGACACTGTTGCGCCATGATTCTCAGTGTCCCCAACCACGATGGTGCAGAACACACACCGCCACCGCCTCTCATCCCTCTCATCCCTTCGCCCTCCACCGCACCGCAGGCACGGACGGCGTGATGGCCACACGGCAATTCGTGCCGCCCTGCTCCAACACCACCGTGTACAAATACAAGGATCGCCGAAGCTCGAAGAAGGAGGGTGATGAATGGTTTAAGTGGGCAGATGAGCCAGTTCTTCGAAGCTCTTTGGGGGAGGTTGGAACTTTTCGGCCAGCATGTTAAGGTGCTTACAAGGATCCGCTTGGCACTCTGGACTCCAAGCTCTATGACTCTATGTATATATTTCTACATGTATTTCCACATGTATCTCCGTTCGCGAGGGTAGACGGTTGTCAGCACAAGAAAGCACAGATTAAATGATTTCGATTGTCAAGATCTAGTGGCCACCTTGTGCAGATCAACAATGGCATTTGCGCACCTCTTTTGGTGTGACCATGCGTGAACTACAGGCTGACCAGGAGGCACCTCGATGATTATGGCAAAACTGTTATACTTTATTTTGAAGCAAACATATATGGTCATGAAGGGGCTAGCTTGAGGGAAGAGCACAAATACTGTAGAAGAATCTGAACCAGATGTTCATTGATAAGCCAGGAAGTTCCCAATGAACACCTCTGGTGCTGAAGGGGCGGGGCGTCGCCACGAAAACGACCCACTGGCATCAGGCTTAGAGGTTCAATTTGGAGTCATTGTCATTGTTGCATGTTGTTGCGATCTATTTCTTGTTGAGGTTCTTTATTTCAGGGGCCTCGACCTTTTTCACGACCCTCGACTGGAATCCTTCTTGTGTGGGACTACATGAACAAAAACTGGTGATGGATGTTCCAAATGACTGGTTTGTGTTCATGGTAGGGGCAAATGACGAAACACAGTCAACGGCCACCCCCCACCCAAACACATGTCTGTTCTGACTCACCGGGTCCTTCCACCCGTGGCGGCAACGACGCACCTCTCAGGTGTGGAGACCACCCAGCTCTACTTCGTGCCCTGCGGCCCCCACGAGACGCGCTACATCGCGAACTTGGGTCAGCCGGTCAACAAGAAGATGCCCGAGTTTGTCACGGACGCTCGTGCTGCTGTGTCATTGTGTTTTCGATGTTTGGTGGTGTTGTTGGGTCGCTTGGCTCACCCTGTGGATCTGTCAAGAATCAGTTGGTGGAGATACCCACAGGAGGAACCTCTCTGACTCTGGGGCAAAAAATGCCACAGACAAGAGAGTCTTTCAGGTGACACGTTAGAGCCCAGCCACAAAAGAAGGTGAACAGATCTGGATGTGAAAAATGATTTTGGTATAATTTTTTGTGCACCGAACCGTGTCAACTTGGCACCATGTGATTGCAATGAATTTGTTTTTAAACCCGAAGATTTGTCCAGCACCCCTCAGGACTCTTGCCTTGAATCCGAAAGACTGGCAAAGCTCGATGCAAACCACCAGTTGGAATTTGAGCCAATTGGAACCAAGAGCCCTCAGGCAGGTAGCGATGCAAAAAGCTTCGCAAAAAGCTTCGAGTTCAGGATATTCTGCATGTGCTTTTCTTCAACAAGATCTTCGGCAGCTCGGCATATCTTTTTCAGCAGTGCTGCGCAGTGTGCTTGGCAGTGCTGCGCTTTGGTATCAGTTTGTTCATCACTGGCTTGTTTACCTCATGGATGAGTGTGTGTGTTTTCAGTGTGTTTGCCTGTCCAACAGGATGGGTTTTGCTTGTTTACCTCAGTAGATTCAACACTATTCAACGAGTCGTGCGCTTCATTTGCCACCTCATTGAGCCACTCTTTCCATTGAGCCTCATAGAGGGCTGACGTCTCTGGCAAATGCAGTGGTTTCAGAGTAGATGGCACAATCTTTAAATTTTACCGGATTGTCATTCTATATAAACCACGTTTTGAGGATTGTGCCATCGACTCTCAATCTACTACAGCATTCCGTTCGAGGGAGTCTAAGTGCTTCTGCTCTGACAGAGGCGACAAGTCCTGAAGTGATCACTTCAACTTTTGTACCTGTGAGGACTTGTTATGCAAAGGACTATTGTGCTTCAGGCGGCACTTTTCGGGTTCCATGTGTTTCTTTTTGGTGAGGGTACAATTTCCTTGCAGTCGCTTGACCGTCAGACCCAGAACGTGAGGCTATCGCTTCCAAGAGCAAGACCTCTTGGCGATGCGAGGCCAGGAGAGGAACTTGCATGAGAGTCCGCTCGGGGCCTGGGGTGAGCAGTATGTCCTGGGCACCTTGGCATTTTGTGTTTTCACTCATTCGCTGGGTGGGGACCGCTGGGTGGTGATTTGCACCCTCCAGTCAGCCAGTAGTACAACATGCAGAGAAGCCACGAATCGATTCGATTTCTGCTTTGGGGTGGCAGATTGATGGGGTGGGTGAACTGTGCTCATGAAACTCAGAGCTGAAGGTGATACGACCAGGCACAGGAGAGGTGGTGACATTGTTCTGCCCAGCCAGTGGGGGACCCCCTCACTGCGCTCCTTGGTCCGTGTTGGATTCGGAAGAATCCTCGAGAGGAAGAGATCTCCGTGGCAGCCACAGGGATGGAATGTCTTCCAAGTGTTGGACCACTGGAAGATTCTATCAAGGAACATTAATTTCGTGGTGAAAGCCATGTCTGGTGTTGCATCCGTTGAACACTTCTTGCCCAGCTTGAGTACCTTGGGAAACATGGGAAAACATCACCCTCGTACCCTCAGACTCTCGACCCGCGCATGCGCCTGCGCACCCCCGTGCTGTGTGGTGCGGGGGTGCGCAGCTGCGAAGTGAGGCACCGCCTCAGACAAAGGGGTGGAAGCCTTCCGGAAGTGGTTGTACGACTGTGGCAATGGCGGACCATACTTCCCAAGAGCTTCCAGGAGAGGTGGCACCGGACACATGTGAGGATTGGAGAATATCCTATTATTTTGGGTCGGTCCCCACTGGTTGGTGAATGGAAAGAGGTTCCGCGGGTGGCACCCTGACGCCCTGGGGTCGGTTCCGCCTTGCAGATGTGGTCCACTGGTCCTGTGGTGGTTCAACAAGCGTCAGCCTATCGGTTTTTCTGCAAAGCTGCCGTGGTTGACATTACTTTTTCACCTGAAATGATTTGATTGGATGATCTGTTCGTCCTTTTTCATCATCAAAACGGCCAAGTCATCGAGGAAAAAACCCAAACATGGAACATCACGGGCCCGTCAGGACCGACCTCTCTTAACCTGGCTGTGGGTCATGGGTTTCCCGGGGGGAGCCTGGTGGTTTTTCTTACCGGAACATGCACAGAAGAGACTACGTGGGGGAAAGGTCCACCGGCGAAACGGGTGCCCTGACCCCGCCGATCGAACGGCGGAACGGGCGCGAACTCGGGCGATCGACAGGACCCTGCCAGCGTCGGATCCGATGCTCTTCGACCGGTGGCAGAGACATTCCAAGCATTGCACCACGGAGCGGAGAGCGACCTCGGCGGTTGCACCCATCACAGTGGACCTCCTTGGTAGGTGGACCTGGTGGCCAGATGGGGCCAGTGGAGGGGTGACTTCCATTCTTAGAGGGTGAGACAGACTAGCAACTAGTCAAGATAGTCTAAGATAGTCTGACTTGGGCGAAGGGAAGGGAAGGAGGTGAATGGAGGATTGGAGGTGCTTGCCTGCCTTTTTCTTCTGTTAAGACCCACATCATTCCCACAGTCAGTGGCCTTTTTCAAAGAAAAAGACAAGCCGAACTCCTGAAAGACGTGGCACCCATGGGCCATCAAGTGCCTCGAGAGTTCAACGATGATGGACTTGTAAGATTTTCGAGCGACTGGCTGCATGATTCAAAACCAATCAAGAGCCACTGTTTTTTGATGGATGACGGCCCGGATGGACATCAATCAGTTGAGGGCACTGCAAGAAGAGGGGAAGCAGATACATTGCATGTCCAAAAGTTGATTGATGTTGCAGTAGACTCTTGGAGTGTGATACAGAAAGAAAAAGTACACCACAGATGAACTGACCCCCGAAAAAGCACAACAATGCCACAATGTTTTCTGTTTTCTCCCGCAAAGTGAACCAGATTTGGAGGTGACGGAAACACATGCTTTTACTATATATCGACCCCCTAAATTCTTCTGGATCGCTTTGGTGAGATGCTGGTGGTCAACAGCCAAAGCGGGACCCCATCCCCGAGGCTGTTGGGGGTGGCGTATGTTGTCCTCACCTTCTGACTCTTGTGAATCTTCCAAGATCACTTTACTGTGTAGCATCCACCAGCAACGCACCATGTTCTACCTGACCGTGGCAATCATGCCTGAGAAAGGATTTACACATCCAAACACCCCAATGGATATGGCTGATGAATTTCAATACAGCATTAAATTTGGATTATAGAACCTCTTCAGGCATGGGGGGATTGAAGTATAATCTTGCAAGAGTACATTAAAAACACCAGCGCGATGGTCCCACGTTTTATGTGTTTTTGTTTTCTTTTCCCAGCACGCACGTGCCACGGCCACTTTCCGCGGCCACGGCCACTCGCGGACGAGGCCCCCGCTGCAAGCGCGTGATGCGCGCCTTTGGAGTGATGCAGTCTACCGCTGGCAGGCAGGAGGGGGGTGGGGCAGAGTGGCAGTCTGTGGGGCGTGGAGTCCCATAGATGTGGGGGTTGCATAGGCCCCGGAAGTGACATACCACTATTGCATGTGTTTTTTGCATTTATGATTGCTATTATTATTTGTTTGAATAATGATGTCGGTCTTGTTGAAGAAGACTTTCAAGGTATCCCCCCAACAGCAACAGATCTTGACTAGAAACGCCTGGGTGAGTTCTCGATGCACACTCTGATTGATATCATATGGGTGTGTAGTGTGTAGATTTTGCAGATGGAACATTCTTGGGACTTTGATAGATGTTCGATCTCCTCCCGAAGGCCAAGAGTCAGGTCAATTCTTAAGACTTCAATTGTTTTGTCACTTCATCTTACATTCCAAACCATATCCCTTCCCTTCCCCCAACTTCTTTTTCTTCCTTTTTCCCTTCCTCTCCCCCTCCCAGCCCAGGCTTTCGGTGCTTGGCCTAGGCCTCGCCTTCGTCCTGATGCTGATGCGCCAGTTCCGAAGCTCCAGCTATTGGCTGCTGCTCACGCTTCTGCTGGCCGCCCTCGGGCGCTGGGCCGCCGCCGAGCGCTGGGGCCACTGGACCGGGAAGACCGGGAGGACCGTCAAGTCGTACCGTTTTCCTCCGTGAGGAGAGGAAGGTCTTTCCCTTTTAAAAGGTCAGGAACTGACCTCATGAAATTGAAATACTTGAGATGGTCATACAAAAACGCTAAGGAGGTTTTCAGCACCAGGTTTTGCTGTTTTTTTGGCTTTTGGGGTTTTGTTTACTGTTTCCATGACAGGGTGGAGGGGTGTTTCCATGACATGATTTTTGATTTTTCACTCTTTTCCCCTCTAGCATGTTCAACACAAGGAAGGCAAGTCACACCACATCCTCCGGAGCACCACACACTCCTGGTGAAACCGGTGAAAAGGTGTCTCCTCCGCCCAGGCTTCGTATCCTCTGTGCCTCTGAAGGGCTTGATGGAGGTGCCCGTCTACAAGAGTGGGCAGAAAAGGATCTCTGAATAAGTCCCAGATGTTTTCATGTGAATGGCATACTTGCGGATCACTTGGGGTGGTTGACCTGGGGTCAATGTAGATATTCCATACGGAAAAAGGATTGATATAACAAGTGGAACAATAGTCCCAGAGGTTGAGTCCCACAGGAAGAGGAGATTGAGTCCCACAGGATCTCTTCTTCTGGTCTACACGAGTCACAGACACAACTTGTCACAATTGAGGCGATCCCGTGTGGAGACGACTCAGCGATTATGATGACTCTGTGAAGACGACTGATGGACAGAAGGTGAATATGGTGGAAACATTGGTATTAGTAATAGTGAATATAGTAGGGATGAATAGAAAGACATTAAGCTGTGGGAATAATGAATAGGTAATAGGGGGATTTGGAACATCAACAGTTAACAAGCATAAACCAATTGACCCCGGATTCCTGGTTGGAGTAGTGAATCACCGTGGATGGCACAGACCGAATCTCTGGTAGATCGGTTTCAAGGCCGTTCAAGGTGACGAAGCGCCCAGAGGTCGACTGTGAATTGGAGGACCACCTCATGTCGCCTGGATAGACAGTACATGAGCTCAGTTTGAGGTGAATCAAGATGACAGCTGAAGTTCTTGAGGTTCTTCTCCTCGCGACGGATTCAAATTCCGTAGTGTAGAGAGATCTATGCTTGCCTAGAATCCTAGAACCTGAATGACTCCTGTTTTATCAACTATTCAAAGAATAGCCTTTTCCTTCAAAAAGGGGTCAGACGGGTTCTAAGTAGTGGTGGGGCTGCGGAAATGCAGACCATGGATGTATGGATGGATGGATGAATTTCACACAGAAAGGGATGATGAGAGTTTTTCAACACCTATAACAATCTCTCATCCTGAGCTGTTTGCTTGCTTTCCACTCGCTCATCCAGTGCGTCGAGTCAAGCGGATGTGAATCTGCATGGAGGAGCTTGATCCATTGATTTGGACATGTAAACTTCCACTCAATTTCAAGCAGATACCGAATCCTCCCAGATATCACCAGACCACGACTTCATATCCACAGAAGCAAGTCTTGGTCCGGAAAGGATGGCGTGTGTCAACCCCACATGAATGGCACTCCATCCTATTGCTGTAAGTCGTGGCCTACTAGCGATGGCCTCCAACCTACTACTCCATCGATCCTGCGAGTCGCCCACGGGCGCTCAAGCGCTCAAGCGCCTCTCAGCGTCTCTCGCGCGCCGCGCCGCCGAACTTTGAGTGCCCAAAGAAGGTCCTCAGGAGGGTTGATGGGTCGATCGGGAAGTGTGCAGAACAGGTGGGGGGGGATGAATTTCATTCGTTCGTGAACACCCACGCATTCCATTTCAATTAGGTTGCCGGCTGCTTCTAGGTTGGAGGCCATTGCTATTAGGTTGCTCTTTTATTACATGAATCGACGTACCAAGGGTCTGCAGACCCTGCTTCGAAGGTCTGGAGAAATGGTTCATGACCCCAATGTTGGGGGTCTCTTTCAGGAATAAGAAGCACTCTTGATGGGTTGCCCGCTTGGGGATCAGCAGGAGTTGTCAGTTGAAGATGAACCCTCGCAAGAAAGGGTCGGGTGAACACCGCGGTGAATCGACGACTCGATGAAGTCCTGGTATAGATGGACAAGGGAGCCCAAGACATTCTTTATAGAAGGAGCTTGCCTTCTCCATTTTGGGGGTCATTAAACAGACCTCAGACTGGTCCATTTCTTAGCGTTAGCATCTTGCTTCAGAGCAGTGCTGTTTGGATGAGCGAAAAGAGCGAAGAGAACTCGATGGGAACCAAGTTTCAAGAAGGCTTGGTCTGCAAGATTATGGCAAGATTCGTCGCAAGATTATTGGAGAGTAGATTATTGACACTGCAAGGTTTTGCAGGATTGGCTGTCTGTGAGCTTTGCACATATGTACCGTTCAATCTGGTTGTTGACTAAACTTGTTGGCCTCAAGCTTCACCAGCTGGCAATGCTTGTGTTGTCCCCTTTTTTGTGCATCTTCTGTGCAACGGACTTGCTGGCGATTCATGTTCCGAAAACTAAGCTAACATTGACCCCCAAATATACAGATAAACATGATAGAACAATGAATGCTTCTTTTGAAGAAACCATGTTTTCTATTCATTTGTGGACCTTTGTGAATGATATCAATGATATCCATAAGTTGCATGATCTCAACTGAAGGTTGATTCTTGTGTGGTGTCCTCACCGAAGCATGGCTGATCGACCGAATCGACCGCTAGCAGAATGTGCTCTCATCGATTGCGGACGAAAAGAGCGAAAAGCATCGTTTGCTGTCTTGGCGGTCGGATGTGCCATGTGAGCTTCCCTGAGGTCCCTGAGGTTGGGGTCCTCACCCTGGAAATGGAATTCCAATGATCAAAAGATGATAGAATCGCTGATGAGTTGGGGAGGGTTGTGGGGGTCAACCAAGCTCTCTTTGTGTGACTTGAGATCTTAAGCCATTCCTCCTCCGTCTCTCGCCCACCCAGCCGTCTGACCCGCTTCTTGCCACGCTTCGCCAGCAACTCCATAGCACCTGCACGAATGGCATGAGCTCCATCCAGGGCAGCGTCTTTTGGATGGCCCCAGAGGCGCGGAAAGGGTCGGCGGTTTGGAGGCGGATGGAAAGCGCCCTCCTGCGAGCTGAAGCCCCACGGTGGCGAACCTCGGCGATCGGCTGGTGAACGGATCATGGGTTCGGCATGGCCGGTGGTTCAGTTCGGACTCCCCCAACAACGACCCAACACCGAAAACAGGGTGGTGGAACACCCCGCGAAGCCACGAAACGGTGGATTCTTTCAGCGTAACATGTGACTGTGACCATACAACAGGGGGTTCAAATCGGCTTGACCCTCGATTTGGGCTCCAAATGGAGGCTCTCTCAATTTTGCACATGCTTCGGGCGGCTGGGTGGACTTTGGCCTGGTGCCAGATAACTCAGAGTTAGTTGGTGCTTCCATCTCTTGAGGTTTGAGATGGGGGCAGAGACTACAGGCCTGCAGGCCATAGAAGGACGCCAAGTGGTCTGCCCCAAATGGCTTTTGAGATTGGTTCGCCACAAGTTCCCAGAAAAGCTCTGCTTCAGGGACAACATCCATTTTGCTATTTTAGTGAATCTCTCAGACCTACTATGTTTCCCACGTGGGGAGATCGTCCAACGAACTTGCGGATGAGACTCGCTTGCGTCTCAAAAGCTGTTGGAATCCAATCGACTTATACAGACGTTCAAATAGATAGAAAAGATTAGACACGTATATCCCACAAAAAATCTATTGGACACTGGAAACCGTTTCAATCTTTTTGGGGGACCACTATAATACTCGTATTGCGGATTAGTGGCGATTCTTCGTCCAGTAGGCTTTTCATGACAGCTGTGACTTTTCACACCACACGACTCGACCGCGGTTCACCCGCGCTTGGCACGGTTGTTCGACTCGAGCAACCGACTGAACGCCGGCTTTCCAAACGGTTCTCGGTCGCGGACGTCGCTTCTTCAGGTCATGAAGTTTAAGGCGGGACGACGATCGGCACGACGGCCCAGGAAAATCACCGGCGGGTTGAGTCCGAGCTTGGGAAAAGCGAAGTGTCCGAAGCCACATGAATCCCACAAAACCCTTGGGAAATCACCGTCACACCCGGGAAGATGAACATGGAGCCTGAACATGGACTAGCTTGTTTCGACTAGCTGAAGCCCCACAAAGCAGTGGTTTTCAGGTTCCACGTGGTTCTCTATTCTAGGGCATAATACCAAAAGGGCTCAGTGCCTGGTACCATATACCAGCTACCAGTTGGTGGGTACACGTGGGTGTATCCCGCGTATTCATCAACGAAGCGAGGCCGGCCGTTGATACTTGACGCCCTGGGCCGGTGGGACCGCCCCAAGCGGGGACGGACGAGTTGGCGGTGGCCTCGTCGTCCAAACCGGCCACTAAGAAGTCCGGTGAATTGGCACAATTCCACTTCAGGCGTTCTGGATATGAACCATTCCAAGGTATGGAATTCTGTATTTATACTTAGGACCCCGGAAACCACCCCAATGTTGGTAAACATGCCAGTCCCACCTGTCATGTTTGGGAACGGATTTCCTGTTCTCCGCAGCCACTGATTCGCTGCAGCTCGCCCCGAGAGCTGTACATGCCCAGAGCATCCATGTATGGAATAGTTACATAATGTTACAGTACATACACTAGGGTCAGAAATGGAGCCGGTATGTAACAGTATGTTTGCATACAACTGTTCCATACATGGATGGTCTGGATGGTATCAGGGAATAGTTACATGCATCAGGGACCGCAAAAAAGCGCGCAGTGGACAAGCCCTCCCGAGTTCCGTTCGGAAGGCCTCCCGACCAGTTGGGGCCGGCATCCGAGGACATTTGGAGCTTGGGCTGCACCGTGATCGAGATGATCACTGCTGAGGTGGGGTGGGAAGCTGCAGAGGTGAGGTGGGGTGCGAAGCAGTCGGGATGAGGGAACACTGCAGGCAAGATCAAGCGGGGTGGTATGTATTCCTGGATTTTGCATGACTTCTTCCACTGATCTGGCAAAACCATCTAAAAACAGATTGGAAACCATTTCCCCTTGGAGAAAGACTGGATTCTGTTCAAAAAGGGCAGTTTCACAGCAGGGGGTGACGCATGAGAGATGATGCGGTAGCTGCTCACAAAACCTAATAGCGAAAGAGCCGCGATGGCCTCCAACCTAGAAGCAATGGCCTCCAACCTAAGAGCAAACGGAACCTAAGGGCGATGGTCTCCAACCTCCGGATTGTCCGCTCCAGTCTTTGCTCAAGAACCGACGCGCTGCTCAACTTAGCATCTCGTCGACGACCACATCCCGATGAGAAGACGAAGACCACGCTTGCAAGATCCCTTTGGACACCCACTAAAGGCAGCTGACACCGAAAGTTCCCTTGAAAGAATCTGTGCCAAAGTGATGAACAACCAGAAAAGCATTGGTGCTATACTACCAGAAGTGGGGGGATCGCACCAGAAGTTGCAGCAAGCTTT